GGATACCGCCCAATCGGGCCAACAAGCGTTTTTTCTGTTGAAAAATATTCTCGAATACTCGGAAGTTCCAATCCTTATTTTTTAAATATAATATATGCACTACAAGATTATTCTAGAATGACAATTAGAGTGAGGCACCCCTTGACATGAGGTCAAGGGTTCGAGCCCCCCGGAGCGCAATGGTGGAACAATTAATACTGAGGACTAGAAGCGGCAGTGTGGGAGGCTGAAACTCGGTGGGAAACAGTGGCTGGATAGGTGGGGCCAGCATGAAGTTCGGGGGGCCAGCGAGCGATCACTTCGGTGGGAACCAGCGGCTGGATAGGTGGGACCAACTTGGAGCTGGGAGGGCCAGCGAGCGATCACTTGGGGATCAACTCCTTGTGCGCGGTAGTTGAGGGTATTAAGTACGTGGGAGCCATTGTGGGGCTATCGCGGTTTTATTGGAGGCAGTGCCTGAGGGGCCGGAGCTGTTTCCTCGAGGACTAGTCAGGCGCAAGCCTGGAACCTCGGTAAAAATAATTAGACTTTTCTAGAATATAGAATGTCAAAGGCGGCAAGAAAGAATAAAAAATCTAGATATTGTCCACCGACTTATGGTGCCTAATTGCCTATAAATATGTGTACTCACATTATTGAAGTTGTAATAAAAGAAACATTTCAAGCTCCTTACATCCATTAGCTATTCTACAAATTATATCCACTCACCATTTTACATTCAAACACCAACAAATAATTTACAAAATCAAGATACCAACACCAAAATACAATTTACAAAATCAAGATACCAACAGTGGTATCAGAGCACGGTTGATCAAAAAATTTGGGGCGTATCACAATACAAATGGCTTCATCATCAAGCAACACTATTCCTCTACCCATATTTGGAGGAGAAAATTATGACTATTGGAGCATCAAGATGAAGACATTATTTTTGTCACAAGAGTTGTGGGAAGTTGTCGCATATGAAGTCAATATTCCCACTGATATATCAATGTTGTGCGTTCAAGAACAAAAAAAGTTACGTGAAGAGCGTCGGAAGGATGCACAAGCGCTCTACATAATCCAACAAGCCTTGTCGGATAATATTTTTCCAAGAGTTATCAAAGCCAATAGTGCCAAAGAAGCTTGGGAGATTTTACAAGAAGAATTTCAAGGAACATCCAAGGTACGTACAGTCAAACTACAAACTCTCAAGCGTGATTATGAAAAATTAGAGATGAAAGAAAATGAGGCCGTGAAAGAATATTATACAAAATTAATTGAGCTTGTTAATCAAATGCGAGCAGCTGGAAAAGATATTTCAGATAAAAAGGTTATTGAAAAGATACTAATTACTGTCATTGAAAAGTATGACCCAATCGCTACAGTTATTCAAGAATTGAAAGATTTAAATACTTTATCAATGACAGAATTAGTTGGTTCTCTCGAGGATTATGAAAGAATAACAACTTTGAAGAAAAATGAAAAAGAGGTTGAAACAGCATTTCAGTCAAAATTAAATTTACAGTCTCAAAATTTCAAAAATCAAGAAAAAAGAAATCCAGAAAAATCAAGTGATGTGAATATCCTAGACCCGAGAAAAACAAAATATGGTATGATACAACATGTGGAATTTGCAAGAAAAATAATCACAAAGAAGAAGAGTGTTGGTTTCTAGAGAAACCCCAATGCAAAAAATGTCAAAGGTTTGGTCACATCAATAAAAAACTGTTGGGTGAGAAGACAAAGTCAACGAGCCAATTTTTCAAAAGAGCCAGAGCCAGAGCCAGAGCCAAAAGAGTTATTGTTCTACGCCTCCAACGGTACAGCAAGAGACAAAAGAAGCATTTGGTACTTAGATAGTGGCTGCAACAATCACATGACATTCGACGAAAGCATTTTTTGCAAGATTGAAAAATTCAGTTCAAAGGTCAAGATTGGAAATGGCGTATGTAGAGGCAACGGGCAAAGGAACTATCGCCATCGACACAAGAGAAGGCACAAAATATATCAAAAATGTTCTCCTAGTTCCAACAATCGACCAAAATCTGCTAAGTGTCGGCGAAATGTTAAAGAAAGACTACAACTTGCATTTCAAGAATGATTCATGCACCATCTACGACAAGAACAAGAAGACAATTGCAAAAATCAAAATGATGGAGAATCAATGTTTCTAAGTCAAATACCAATACCCAACACAAAAGAACAGGCCAATTGTCAAGTCAAGTGTCAACAGTCAATGAGAAGATTCCAAGAAGAAAAATACACGAGTTCCAAACTCACATCATCAGGAGAAGCAAGCAAACACAGTTACTAGAAGACAAGTTTCAAAGCCTCCACAACAAAAGTGCTATAATATATGCAATCGAGCAATTGTCGAGCCAATAAACACAAGAGAAATCACGACAAGAATAATCCAAAGACAAGCCGTACCGAACCGCTATATCATGGACAAGCAAAGAAAGCTCAAGTATATCTCCACAGAGGAGCAACTAACGGATACTTTTACAAAAGCGCTACCAAGACCAAGATTCGAGAGACTACATGACAAGCCTAAAATTATCCAAATGAGCATTAAGGGGGAGTGTTAAATTTAATCCTCATTTTATAAATATAATATATGCACTACAAGATTATTATAGAATGACAATTAGTATAATTAATAATTAGACTTTTCTAGAATATAGAATGTCAAAGGCGGCAAGAAAGAATGAAAAATCTAGATATTGTCCACCGACTTATGGTGCCTAATTGCCTATAAATATGTGTACTCACATTATTGAAATTGTAATAAAAGAAACATTTCAAGCTCCTTACATCCATTAGCTATTCTACAAATTATATCCACTCACCATTTTACATTCAAACACCAACAAATAATTTACAAAATCAAGATACCAACACCAAAATACAATTTACAAAATCAAGATACCAACATACATTTGCGATGTTCCTTGCCGCTTTGATAAATAAATTAATTAAAAAAATAAAGAAATACATTGGCACAAAAATAAATTTGAATATTAATAATAATCTATATCTATATTTATATATAAAAATGTTTAATTATTTTTTAAATAGTAATTATTTCCCTAAAATAAGTCTATTTACTATTTTGGAAAATTAATTTAACAATTTATGGTGTATTTCAAATGATCACTTGCTGAAATTGCGGACCATTATTTAAGAAAATAATTAAACCATATTTTAAAATATCTTAATTACTCAAATCAAGTAATTAATATATGATATATAGTGGCTGGATTTATTTTTGGTACTGATGTTGTTTCTATGGGAAATATATTAATTAATATATGGTATAAAGTAAGCAAATTTATTTAGGTTATTTGATAACTTTTTTTGATCGAAATTTTGTTAAAAATTAATCAGTATATGGTGTACTTTTTTATGTAATGCGCGGCCAATATATTGGTTTTTAGGCGTGAGTTTCAATTTTTATTTCAAGTTTTCATATGAAATTAACATAATAAAATTGATGTAACTCCGACAAAATAATATGAACGAATATTTTGATATAATGTACGTGTATCGATATTTTTTATAAAAAAAAACTCTGGTCAATTTTTTTTATAATTAGTGAGTCTCGATTTAATTCATTTTTTTGTTACTCCCTCCATTTCATAATAAGTGTCGTTTTGAGAAGTTTCACAATAATTAAGAATATTTTTTTTTTCCAACAATAAGTTTCATTAATGAAGATAGAGATGAATGTCCTGAGAAAAGACGAAGATTGAATATGAAAAGACATAGTGTATTTATTAGCTAAATGAGGATAATAATGGAAAAAACATGTACAAAAAATCCAAAACGACATTTATTTGGTTAATGGTTGATAAAGAAAAAATGACATTTAAAAAGAATAGGAGGTAGTACGACATTTCAAATATTTTTGTGTGAAATGCATTGTTCTTTTTTTTAGCATGATAAAGAGTGTTGATTTTTTTTGGCATAAATGATCTTATACTGATTGTTTTTACTCAACTACTTAAATTTTCTTATTTGGATATTTTATACAAAAATAAATTCATTTTAATTAATTATACAATATAAGTTTATGTTTGTACTTATTATTCACATAGGTTTTTTACATATATGATAAAATTTTACCAAAATAATTATTTGAAGTAATTACGTTATAATCAAATCAAATTTCTGAACAAAATTTTTGAAATGACACATATTTTGAAACGAATATAATGTAATTTATTATCAGTTATGTGCAACGCGTGGGTTGTGTACTAATTTCAAATAGACATTTTTATGTAATTTTGCACAATTTAATTTTTATATAACATTTTTAATAAATTAATATAAATAAATTGTATTACATATTGATTCTATATTTTAATTTATAAATATTATTTGATGAGATTTTAATTTATAGTATTAATGAATATTTCTTACCGGTGTATCACACGAGATTCCTACTAATTTCTATCCTATATCAAATAACTCTTATTATAGATTATAGAGTCTTTATTTACATTTAAAAATAAAAATACAATATATTCTAATATTATTAATAAATAATACCACAAAATATTTTCGTCGCACTTCCCCNATAACTTAATATGTTCTCACCCTTTACACACAAGCAAAGGTGGTCAAAATGGGGGGTTTGAACATCCAGCCCCCTGCGAGCCCTGTCAGCTAACAAATACGAATCTATGCAAGCGTTACCATCCCAAATAAAAGTACAACTAATACCAGAATGAAGCAGAAATCCTATATCATCTAGTACAACGGAAGAACAACAACCGGCTTTGTCAATTCTCTACACCAAGGAAACTAGGCTTTTGTCTTTAATCTTGAAGTTCACCTCCATCCATCCCATCTCCTTAACTTTTAATAAGCCCCACCTTACTGTTAACATCCCTGCCTCTCTTCTACTGACCTCAAATTCAATTGCCCCTGACCACTGTTGGACTAAATTTTCACCTTCCAATGGACTAAATTGATGTCTAATGCCATGGAGAATGAGTTTCAGCTATTATACCTTCCGAGGGGTTCGAAATGAAGATCGGAAAATCGGGAGGGCTAGTGGAATGGACCGGCTCTTGAACCGGACCCATTTTGGGGCTGTGGGTCTCGGTTTGGAGCTTACCGGGACTGAAACTCGTCGATAATGGAGCTAGCTCGACGGATCGGGGCCAAGCTCGCGGTTCAGGGCTTGGGTTCGCCGGAAAACGGGTCGGCTGCTCGGGTTTGGAGCAACTCAACCCGAATATGAGGTGAGATGGTCGGACCTGTGCTGGTTCGGTCCTGAGGTGCTGGTTACGGTTCGGATCTGGGGCAGGCTCGACAGCAACGGCTCAGGCGTGGCTCGGCGGCGCGGGTGGACGGAGCTAGGGTCGCGGAGGCGTACGGACGTGCGAGGGCGGGCTGAGCTCGCGAGACGAGGGCGTACGGACTGCTTCGCGGACTCGGGCTGGTGCGGTGGTGCGAACCTGTGGATGGCGACGTGAGGCCGAGCTGGGAACGGCGATGCTGAGGTCGCCGGTGGCTCGAAGGAAAACGGACGACGCGGGATGACAGCGTGGACGACGGGCTCAGTTGCGGCCTTGACGTGAAGGCCGTGAGCTGTGGCTAGGAGGATTCCCCGCGTGAAGGCGGCGACGACGGCGCGAGCTCTCCGGTCGGAAGTTCGCCGTGTGTGGATGAGCAGCGAGCTGGGAGGAGGACGACCGTGAGCTTGGTGAGGGAGTGGCGACCCGATGCGGAGATTTCCTTCTCTCCTTTTTTCTCTATTTTTTTTTAATATTTTAAAACGATTAGTTGGGAAAGAAGATACATATCTATCATTATATTAAAAGATTAACCATTTAACATTTTTAGCAAAGTTTTCCCGCCAACAGCATTTAATGCCTTCTAAAAATAGAATTTTGGACATCTACACTTATATTAAAGGGAATCCTATTTACCAAATTAAGTAGCCAAAAAAGTCAACAGCATTTATTGCATTACTATTTCTGTATTATACAATCTATATTTATATAAAAGGAGATTCTATTTACTACATTTACTACCCAAAAAAGTCAACTACATTAAATGCCATTAATATTTTGGTATTATAATATTTTATTTATTTAATTAATTAATTTATTTATTTTATTTTAAAAAGGTAAGTATAATAAAAAGATTTTAATAAAAAAAATCAAATACCAAATAAAAATATACACTTTGTCTTATTTGATTATATTTGGTATTTGATTATACCAAATATATTCCTATTTAGTATATACATTAAATACTTACTAAAGTATTTATTTATTTTATTTGTCAAAGTTAAGTATAGAGTTGTTTATATTATCAAATCATAAAAAAAATATTAAATTCATATTGTAAAAAAAAAAATTCATATAATTTTATAACAATTCTACTACACTATTTAACAATATTTCTTTTTTATTATATAATAAAATAATAATTAAATATTATATGGTGAACAACAATAAGTAAAACTGTTACTTTCTCTTATATCAAGGGATAAATTTATATGCTAAAATTAAATTTTTATTAGTATAAATGTTTTAGTGAGATAATATATTAATTATTTTACAAGCTAGCCTAACATGCTCATATTTAATGTTTTAAAAGATGTAGAAAAAAACTTATAATAACTCTATTATTTTTTAGACTTAAACGTTGATTAAAAGAGGTAAAAATTCCTAATTTTTTAGACTTAAACGTTGATTAACACCATAGATTGAGAGTTTATATTTAGTAAAATTTCTAATTGTAATAAAAAAAATTAATTTTTGCTATATTTTAGAATATCTTTAAATTCATTATAAAAAAAAGAAGAAAAAACTACAATGAAAAAAGCAAGTCAGCTATCGAGTTGTTGAACTCCTCAAATCACATTCACAATTTGGCTACAAGGAAAGGAAACTCATTGTACAATTTTCTTGCGTATTATAAACTTTTATTAAATATTGCATCTTATAATATAATATAATAAATATATCCCGTGCTTCGCACGGGTCACGTACTATATATTGTTGGGTTCGCTAGTACCGTACGGGCTTTAAGCAGCGGAATTTAAAATTTTTAAAATAAGTATTTATCGTATAAATACAACACCCGTACATACTAATTGCGAATTAACTGATCGTCATCTTTAAAACATGCATCATATACAAATTTTGATTTGTTATATAAAATAAATACTAGATTTACCTTAATCTTGAACTCCTTCAAAATTGTCGATGAATGAGGGAATCGATTCCCGGTTTGTAACAGCAACACCTTTTGGTTACTCGCTCAGGAATCCAAGTGTCTTCCCTCTAAACGTATCCACCTTTTGAAATCCGGTTCCGATAACCTCTTTCTTCGCTAGTAGAAAAGTATCGGTTTTATAGAATGGAATATTTATTTGAGGAAATATATAAGAACACTTTCTTATATTTTTGAATATGAAGAACACTTCTTCTTTTCTCTCTTTTTCAACTCTTGAAAACTTAGATCAAATCTTAAGATTAATTTTGAACATCAAACATGTCCATATTTATACTAAACATTTTAGTATAAAATAATAATATTTGGTAGAATATTTTCATAAAATATAAAAAGTCTTCAAGAATATTTTCATAAAATATTAAGTCTTGGACAAGACTATTCCCCACCCAATATTCAATTAATAAGAATAATATTAATTATGTTTAAGTAGATAGCATCTCTTAACCACCATAATTAATTATTCTTATTAATATTTAATCTTTAATCATATTAAAGATATATCATAAAATAATAATTCTTGAAAGCATCTTTCAAGACTTTATTATTTTAATCCTTTATTCCATTTCCTCATTTAATAATCATATTATTATTTGGATTTGAAATTTAAAATCTAATTTTAAATTCCAAATATTAATTAGTAATTCCATTAATTACTAAATTAATATTCAAAATTCAATTAATCAATCCAATTGATTAATTTAATATATTCCTTTATTGACATCTAATCAAATTAGATTTTGTCAATTAATTCTAACTCTTTAGAATTACTATTTGATTTTCACCTTCATTCAAAAATTGGTGTGACCTTTTAGGTTCACAATTAATACTAGTAGTGGATTTACAACTCTTTGTAATTTGAGTTAATCTTATTAACTCTTATTCATGAATTAACTCTTTAATTTAAGAACCCACATATCATGGGAACATCTAGCAAGTAGCATGAATCTAGTATTAAGTGAATAGCGAGTAAACCTATTTCAATTACAAGTCCATACATGTAAAATCCTTTCGACATCTAATTTCCCGATTAAATCTTGGGTATGATTTTAGTCGAAACCCAAATTGATTTAATAACTATGATTCTATTTCATATTTAGTAATTCATGTATGAATCTTTATTCATCCCGCCTTGGCCAAGGACTTTGAATTACTAACTATGAAACACATAGGAAATTCTCGTATCTTCATACGTGTCGAATCCTTTGTTGGCCACTAACAAACTTCCATACATATTAACATAATACCCAAAATATCCCTTTATACGATTGTGCTAGCAACCAAAAGGATAAATCAAAGTAGAACGTAATATGCACAAAGTTACCATTGTGCCTCAAGTCTAAGGATTAGTCATGTACTATTGTAACATGAAAATTCTTATTCGACAGAATAATTAACTAAAATAATTCTTCATTAAGAATTTTCATACGGTCATGTTCAGTGAACTTGTTCTCTAACAAGCACCCACATATATGTACTTGCGTCCCACGCTAATGTTAATGGAATGCAACATTCTTGTCAAACAAGCATACATACTATGTACAAGTCTTTTATGGATTATTCGATATCCCTTTTCGAAACATCCATCGACTTGGAACTTTATTTAAGACCACAGCTTTTAAGGTATCTTCCATGATTACCATCTCTATGCGCAACCATACCTTATAACTATATGTGATCTAGGGATTTTATCTTAAGTGCAAATATAAGATAAATGCTTACTCTTAAGATAAAGTAATGCCTTTTAATTAATATAATTCCAATAGATTGTATTTACAAGTAGAATACATCCAATCCAATTGGAACGTTGGGTATACTACTCTAACATATATATCCGGTACATTTTTCTTTATTCATGTATATAATTATAAGCCTGGATAAATAGCCTTAAAATTATGCACCCCGTGCATCGCACGGGCTCTGTACTAGTATAGGTGAAATAGGATTAGGGTTGAGTCTGATAATGGGCTTAAAATTGGGCTAAAGATTAGTTACTGACTTGGGTTAGGAAATTCACTACTTGAGCCGAAAAATTAAAATGTACAGGCTATATACATTTTAACGGGCCTTGACTAAAATCGACTATGTAATCGGGCTAGTCAACCGAGCATTGACTTAGGAAAATTAAATGTTCGGGTAAATTAAAAATGACCGGAACATAGACTAAATTAATTAGTCGGTCGAATTTAAATAAAATAATTGACTCGGATTTAAAAATCGAACATGGACTCGACTTTTAAAATGGGCTGAATTAAAATCGACATGGGCTCGATTAAATCAAATGAGCCGAAATAAAACAAACATTGGCTCAATTAACTTAAATGGCAGGCTAAAATGGACTCGCTCGTTTATTGGACTTCGGTCCAACTTAATGGAATATTGATTATTCCAAGGCTTAGACTTAATACTAATTACTCGTGCTAATAACAAGGCAAAATTGCCTTTAATATCATGACCTTTTTCGAAATTGCAATTTAATCACGACTTTTTTACTTTGCAAATTATATCACAATCTTCAGTTTGTTGCAAATTGGTGCACCGATTTGCATATCCCATGCAAACTATATCACAATCTTCAGTTTGTTGTTCGCTCACATCAACTTTTTTATGACTGTTTGCAACAAACTAAAGGTTGCGATATAATTTGCAAAAGTGAACAAGTGATGATTAAATTGCAACTTCGATAAAGGTAGTGATATTAGAGGAAAATTTGCCTAATAATAATAAATGCATCAAATACGGAAAATTGGCTATTTATGGGATTAAAGTCGAGCTCGATAAATAGTAAATAATCTGGGCATTACAAATTGGCTAACTAGTACTTGGTGAACATAGATAATCAAACAACACATCATACACACAACATTATTTCTCAACTCATCAAGACTATTTATCTAGCTGAATGAATCTCATTTTTGGTGTGTGCGGCTCTCTCTCTCTATCCCTCTCTCTCTCCCTCTCTCTCTCTCTCTCTCAAACCTTTCCCCCAAATCGTCGAATCCCTAGTCCGTCGTCAGATCTAGCGTAGCCTCCTCTTTTGTGGCGGTCCGACTCCTCCATGGGGATGTCCTCCCGACGTGTCCTCATCCTCTGTACCTGTTTCGATCATCTCCCCTGATGTGGTTCCGTATTTTCTGGACAGTAGCATCGTTGTTTTGAGGTGAGTTTCCAGCGACGGGGGTGCGGCGCGGTTGCGGTCTCGACCTGGGTCCGTCAGCCTCTTCCTCTTCTTCTCCGCTATATCCTGGGCTGAGCCGGGGAGTTGCTCCCGACGATTCCGTCCTCCAACTTAGGGCTTTGAGGGGTTTTGTCATCTTTGTGGTGAGGTTGGGGTCGGCAGGTGCGTCAGAGCGTGGTTTTGTGGTTAGATTTGGCTCAGTGGGTGGGTCTTGCTAGCTGTCACCAGGGCTTGGTGAAAGGAGTGGTTGGGCTTGCACTTGGCGAAGGTCTGGCTCAGTGGCCCGTCTTTGAACCTTAGCTCCTTGTTGTCTCCGGTTAGACTACTCCCCTGGCGGGCTAGCGATCGTTGTTGTCGAGTGGGCATCATCCAATTTCCTGGATGCCATGGCGGCAGTGGTGGTGGTGGTTGTTGGCAGGCAGGGCACGAGTCTTGCGTTTGTGGTTGCATGCAACTGTTGGCCGGAGATGGGGGCTGATGCCTTATGTCTTGTTTCTTTCGATCTCGGTGGTCTATGGGCTGCGAGTGTCGTTTGAAGTGGCGGGGTGGGCGGTTTTGGCTTCGGTCTCTCGAAGTTGTCTGTTGTGGTGTTTCGGGGGAAGTCTGTCTGTCAGTCCAGGTAGAGTTAGTCGTAAGGGGAGTCTCTTGACCCGTGTGTTTGGGGCTAAGGGCTAGAGGCTCTTCTGTTTCTCGCTTTGGAGTCGTTTGGGTGCGGAGGTCCCGGATGTTGGTCGGCTGAAGGGGAGGGCGTCATGTTTTTGGTTGTTTTTTCTTATGTTACTGTGTTTAGGTGAGTGTTTAGTTGTGTATTGTCGGTGCTGTGTTTTTGGTTCCCATTTGGGTTTTGTTATTTTCCCTTTGGGAGTTGTGTTATTCTCCTGTTGGCAGTTTGTTTCTTTTAGTTTTAGTGTGTTGTGTTTAAGTTGGTTCTAAAGGGCTGTAAACGAGTCGAGCCGAGCTCGAGCTTAGGGTGTTAGACCTCGAGCTCGAGCTCGAGCCCTTAACGAGCCGAGTCGAGCTCGGCTCGTTAGATAAACGGGCCTAAAATCGAGCTCGAGCTCGAGCTTGTTAAGGCCTCGAGCTCGAGCCTTAACGAGCCGATCTCGAGATTTTACAAGCCGATCTCAAGCTTTAACGAACCGAATTATAAAAAATATATAAACATTCTATATTCGAGCCTTAACGAGCCTTATCGAACCGAGCCGAGCTTGTCTCGTTAGCCAAACGAGCTTTAAATGAGCTCGAGCTCGGCTTGTTAAGGCCTCGAACTCGAGCCTTAACAAGCCGAGCTCAAGCCGAGCCGAGCCGAGCTCGTTTAATTTAACAGCACTATGAATCTAGGCTACCTTGACTTGTTACCTTTGAGGTCAGTTCTCTCAACCACATTCAGATGAATAGCTGACTTATTCGAATGTTTAGTTGTTATCTAGTGTGTATTATATGTTTTTTAATGGAAAGTCTATCGTTTGGAAAAGAAAAAAAAAAGAATATCAAAAGTGCACATGCTTGTTATTATCTTATGGCTTAAGAGTACAGAGTATTACCGAAGTCTGGTTTATTTACTTGGTCAGTATAAAATAAATTTATCACCGACCGATCCAAATTCAGTACAACCTTTCATGATAGTTTGTTCAATTCTATCTATGTTGTGAACCAATCTTTATGTTTTATAAGTCACCGATAAAATAATCTTCTGTTTATCCTCGTGATGAACCGTATTTATCTAAATGTAAAACATCATAACGTATACACACTAGCGATTTTATTGCTAAAGTAATTTTAGGATGCTAAGTGTGAAATCCTATACTATTTGATCATCACATTTGCATGATAATCACTAATATGGACACACGGGTAATCATTTGAAATCCTATACTATTTGAATTATATCCCACAAACCCGAACCTCCACAAGCACAACAATAAGCATTAATATGGACACACGGGTAATGTCAACAACAAAAAGAGGCTTACTCTATAATTCTGCATTAGCTAATTAAGCGCAAAAGCATCAATTCAGCCTGATAAGTAATGAGCCATCCACGCACGACAACGGAGCCAGGCCAACTTACTTGCTGCTTCGGCATTTTCATCATTTATTCCCATCCTTTTCCTTCTCTCAATCCCTTCAGGGGACCTGTTCATGAAGGCATGCCCGACTCCCTTATATACGAACACCTCATGTTCAACTGTTCTCCTTAGTTCAAATTGTAAACTCTCTGCAGTCTGGATACAAAGTTATGTACCAAGAAAAAAAAAAAAAAAGAACAAAAAAATCAAGATAAATGCCCATATACAGGTATACATGTACATTTGCGGCTTATAACCACTGTACTAAAAATCGGCATAGACGGCCGCCTAGGCACTAGGCGCCAGTCAGACGCCTCCGATTTACACAAATTGGCTGAAAAAAACCGGCAGCTTGGCGGCCAGGCGGGCCTAGGCGCTCCAAAGCGGCCTCGGCGGCAATTTTTTCTGATTTTTTTTTTTAAATACTAATTATTTTATTTTTATTTTGTTATTATAATTTCTTTATAATATTTTGATATTATTATTAAAACTTAGGCGTGTGGATTTATTATAAGTTGAGGTAGTTTTATTTTGTAGGTAGTGAAAACAAATAAAAAATAATGTATTTAATCTTAATTTCTTAAGCCCACCTAGGCGCAAGTCGGGCGTCTAGCGACTTCTAGAACACTGCTTATAGCATTAAAGTATTTAAATATAGTACATTGGTAGCTCTTCAGAATCTATTAATATATAAAGAGACAACCCAAAAAATCTAAAATAGTAACTAAAAATAATTAGAATTCCCGCCTAAAAATTTACTAAACATAGCAACTTTTTTTGAAAATCCAACCCAAATTAATTTGAAAATTTTCAATCCAAAATTTTCAAAAATTTAAAAAAATGATTCTCTGTAGATTTTTTTGATATATTCCATCTTTATCTTAATGATTATCTACTCATTCTACATTATCTTAAAAATTCAAATGCTTTGGTTAATTAGAAATGAATGAAACATAAAGGCATTGTTCGTGCCTCGTTTATTTTACATGTTGAAGGCCCAAGTTCTAAGGAATATCAAGTCTAAGTTACAAAATACCAGTTCGATCTCTTCAGGTGTGCTAATCATGATTGCTCCGCTCTCTAAATCCTTAACAACAACATTAACTGACATATTTATGATAACCTAAAAAATAATGAAATAGTAACTAAAATATAATCAGAATTCTCGCCTAAAAATTTACTATACATACAATTTAAAAAAAAAAATCAGAAATACCGCCCAAGCATAATTTAAAAATTTTCGGTTAAAAATTTAAATTAAAAAAGAAATCATCTTTATTTTATATGTTTGAATTTAAATTTTTGAACAAATCTATCGTTTATGTATCTTATACAGAGTATAGATTTATTTGTTGAAGATAGAAAATCCAGAATATGGTACTAATCTCTTTCACTCACGTTTTTCATTATCATATATATCTTCATATGTAACAAATAAAAAAAAAAACCCATATATTTCAAAAAGTATTGACTTATTTTCTATAGAAACAAAAGGTTTTGAAGTATAAACTGTAGAAAAATTTCAAATTATTTTTTTCGCAAATTCGTTATATATTTTCAAAAAGAATTATTTTTTTTTTGGTCGAAACGATAGGGAATTCTATAACCACTCAAAGAGAACATAGTTCAAATACAAAGCGCGGAAACAACCGAATAAGAACGAAAACTGAGAGGACACGCTAGAAGCGGCCTAGAAACCCGCATGCGGGTATAAAAACCAATAACTGCCCTATAAACTAGAATGGGAAACAACCACTGCATAAGCCTAGCTATTACACCATTCTGAGGACTGAAACAGAATACAAAGAGAAAGCTAAACACACACAAGAGACCACAAATGCTACAGGAACTGATAAAGATGCTATCTAATCCTAGAATAATCCTGCCATTCAGATAATGCACATCTAACAAGAACTTGGATTGGAACATCTGCTTCTTCAAACAGCCATAAGTTCCTGGAGCGCCAAAGCCACCATAGCAAATATGTTGTCAGCTGAATCCTATGCTCATCCACTTCTTGCTGCCCAATGGTACATATCTGTCTCCACCAAGAGCTAAAACTGATGCCAGGATCAAAAACACCATCCCATTGGATAGGCCCTAACTGCCAAAGCCTTCTAGCTTTATTACAAGAAAAGAAGGTATGCTCAATTGTTTCTGGCCATTCCCCACAGCTTTTGCAAATTACATCAACATCAAGCCCTTTAGCAATCAGATTAACCTTGACTGGGAGAGTACCTTCACAACATTTCCATAGAAAGTGTTTGATCTTCCCATTGATTTTCAGTTTCCAGGTTTTATCTCTAACTGCTTTGATGAGCTTGGAATTGTTGCTTCCTTCTGGTATATCAAGACTTTGAACTTTCTTGGAAATGAGATGGGAGTAGGTGGATGACACAGTGAATTTCCCTTTTTTGTCAAGGCCCCAGAACAGCCTGTCCTGCCTTCTAGGATTGAGAGATGTTATATTCAAAATAGCCCTGCTGTCAGCTTCATCAAAAACCTGGTTAACCAACCAAGTGTTCCAACTCAAGCCATCTACACTCATCAAATCTTTGACATAAACCAGGTGGCCTCTAGCTATATCAATAAGTGAAGGTCTGGGGTGAAGAGAGTATGGGACCCAATTGAAGTCATCTATTCTAGTTTTCTCTCCATTCCTTATCTCAGTTCTAAAGCCAACAGCAAACACAGACACAGTATCCATCCATCCTTTCCATAACCATGAACAATTTTGGGTTTTATCTGCCTCAAAAATAGAACAAGAAGGATAATACCTGCTTTTGAGGACCTTGCTCACAAGGAGATCTGGCTGAGAGGAGACTCTCCAAAGCTTCTTGCAAATTAAGGCCTGATTGAAAAGAAGCACATCCTGAAAGCCTAGCCCACCTTCAGTTTTTGGGATTGTAAGTTTGCTCCAAGCTCTCCAATGAATGCCTCTATCTTGGTTCTCACCTTTACTCCACCAAAAATGAGCACAAAGCCTTTCTATCTCTTTGCCAATGGAAATTGGGATTCTGAAACAAGCCATAGTAAACACAGGCAGGGCATTCAATACTGCCTTAATTAACACCTCCTTACCTGCATTTGCTAAGGTTTTATTTTTCCAGCTGGTAAGCCTAGCCCTAACTGCCTCCACAACATATGCAAATGCCTCCTTTTTAGATCTGCTGAGCCCAAAAGGCAGCCCAAGATATCTGGTTGAAGAGTGCACTTTAATTCCCCCCAAAGACTGGCAGATACTGTTCTGGAGATGAGATGGGACATTTTTGCTGAAGAAGGCAGATGATTTATCCATGTTGACTCTCTGGCCTGTGAAGAGCTTGTACTTCTCAAGTAGCTCTGTGAGAACTTGTGATTGGTCCACCCCAGCTTTCCCAAATAGTATAATGTCATCGGCAAACATAAGATGGGTTATTGTTGGACCATTTCTAGCCAGCCTCAAACCTGTCAGCCTCCCATAGTTAACTGCATCTTGAATAAGAGCTGAGAGCATCTCTGCCACAATTATGAACAAATATGGGAAAGTGGATCCCCTTGACGAATACCCCTGGTTGGGTGAATAAGACCACCTACTTTCCCATTGACATTGAAAGAAATTGAAGTAGAGGTTAAACAAGCCATAATGAGATTTACAAACCTCCAATCAAACCCCATCTGAATCATAATGTTGTGAATACTACTCCATTCAACAGTGTCAAAAGCTTTCATAAGGTCCAGTTTGAGAGCCATAAAAAAGTTCTTCCCTGTTCTATGTCTGCTAAGGAAATGGAATGCTTCATGAGCTATGATGACATTGTCAAGCAACTGCCTATCTTGGAGGAAAGCTGATTGGCTGGGACTAATGCAAGAGTCAAGACAGTTTTTCAATCTGAGAGCCAAAATTTTTGAGAAAATTTTGTAGACCACACTACACAAGCTTATAGGCCTATATTGTTGAAGGAAATCAGGGCTTTTGCATTTGGGGACTAAGGTGACAAGGGTGTGATTCCAATATTGCAAGAAAGAACCAGAATCAAAGAAACTTTTAATAGCAGCTACTAAGTCATACCTCACCAAACTCCAGAAGTGTTGGTAGAATAAAGCATTCATTCCATCCTCTTCAGGAGACTTTTCAGAAGGGAGGCTGAATAGAGCATTCTTTATTTCTTCTTCATCCACAGGCTTCAACAATTGCTGGTTCAGATCTGCTGTGATGGACTTGGGAATTAGCTGAGTCAGAGTTTACCACCCCTAGAACCTTCTGATGTAAACAAAGAGTCAAAGTATTCTGAGATATGGAGCTCAATTAATGCCTGAGTTTTACAAACATAGTGATCTCTAGTGATAAGTCTTGAGATAGAGTTGAGTTTCCTCCTTTGCCTAGCATAGGCATTTGCCCTTTGTCTCCAGTATTGTTCTTCATAGCAGTGGGCTTCTTCAAGTTCTGCTTTGGTTGTGACCCATTCTTCCCAATGATTTTCTGCTCCTTTCTCTCTTATATCCTCTAATTTAGCAGATAGGCTATCCATTTTCTCCTGGTTAGCTTTAGTGAGTTGGGAGCTCCATTTCAGCAGAGCTAGCCTAGTCTCTTTAACCTTTTCCTTAAGTCTGAAAAAAGGGGTGCCTTGTTTTTCTATCCCCCATGCTTCTTCAATAACAGTAGAAATGCCATCCATCTTCAACCACCTCCTATCAAAGGTGAATCTCTTCTTTTGCTTTTGCTGCTGATCTCCACTGTCCAGTAAGATCATTGAATGGTCAGAAGCACTCCTTAGAATATTGTGCACAGCAGCATTCAGATTTGCAAGCATCCACACAGGGGAGGCAAAGGCCCTGTCCAGTTTTTCCTCCACAAGATTTGTAGCATTTCTGTTGTTTGCCCAAGTATACTGGTATCCAAGCATTTTAATCTCCTCCATGTCCATCTGATTTATGAAGCATTTGAAGTCCATGAAACTGATGTCATATCTGGGTCTGCCTCTTTTTTTTTCCTCATTGGAACATATGTCATTCCAATCCCCAAGGATGAACCAATTGTCTCCCCATGTATCTTTGTCCATTTCTAACTCTCTCCTCTGAGCTTCTCTAAGAGATTTATCAGAGCTCATATAAACAAATATGCCCCAAGTAACCTTGGCTCCTCCTATTTTAAACTTTGAAGCTATATAGAAATTCTTGCAAATGACCTGGATGACATCAACCTCAGATCTCCACAAAAGAACCATACCTCCACTTACACCTATAGGATCCACTATTGCAAACCTATCTTCATAACCCAATTTTCTACAAACTGTTTTGACAAAAGAGTGTTGTTTTTTAGTTTCTGATAGACACAACAAAGATGGGTGGTGAGCCTTACAAGACTCTCGGATTTGGGAAACTGTAGAGGGCCCACCCAGCCCTCTACAATTCCACACCGCAACTAACATTTGTCACTGGGTTGCCATTCGAGGCTGGCAACCCCCACCTGTTCCTTCATTGGCTTAAATTTCTTACCGAGGCAATTTATCTTCCCCTTTTTGAGTGCTGGCCTCTAGTGCCTCTCTATCTCTTTTACTACCAGAAGAAGAATTCTCACAAGGAGGTCTTTCCTCTAGTCTCTGAAGCCGACCTGCCTTATTGGCCAATCTCCTCCATGATTTGGGATTGGTAATATGAGCCTCTGAGCTACTTGGATCCGTAGTTAGGATTAAGGGCTGAGTAGGAACCAGATCCATTGGAGTGCTGGAAGTAGCCTCTAGGACTTCGATTTGCATATTAGACTGCTCTTGATTCTGAGGTATAAGCTTCAGGTTTGATGAAGGGGAATTTGAAGCAGTAGGGATATCTGGATTTTTGATGTTGTGATTGGGAGTGACACTCTGAACTGGGATAATCTGATTATTTTCTTCAACTTGGTTGTTAGATGTAGGAAGGGGATTAGATAGGTTAGGAGATGGCGGTGAATCAGATTGTGGAGAGCTCCTGGAAACTGTGGAATTTAAGCCAACCCAATTTTGAGAATCTGTTGCTCGCATCCAATCGCTGTATTGCCCTTCATTAAGACTGTTAGCTTTGATGTCTGCTACTCTAATGGTACATTCCTTTTCCAAGTGGCCAATGTGACCACAATAGTTACAAAAGTTCACCAGCTTTTCATACTTGAACCCAACACTCACAGCTTGGTCATCTAGCCTTATATGCGCACACCTTGGTAAAGCTTCAAGACTATCTACTGTAACCAGCAGACGCATTACTCGACCCCCATGACTTCCAGCGCTAACAACTACTACATTGTTCACTTTCTTAAAAACCCTGCCAAGTTTAACCCCTACTTCAGTGCTCAACCAATTTAAGGGGAGGTTAAATACCTGGACCCATAGGTTAATCTCAGAAAATATAGGGTGTGATGGATTGAGCCCCTCTTGCCATTCTGCCAGAACTAGGTACTGATTGTCAAAAATCCAATTTGTGCCTTTTGTCACTCTGTTTAGATCATCTTTGCTCTGGAATATGAATTGGAAGAAATTTGGTCCCAGCTCCTTGATCTCCATTGTTTGCTGTATTCGCCAAATGTGACTCATTGTACGTTTCACCCCGATCCAACTGGCTCGTCTATCTCCTATTATTTTTCCAAATAGGCTACTCTTGCATACCTCTGCACTGATTTTGATGTCTTCTCGAGCTATATCTATGAATGTGTTTTCACGATCGGATAAAGAGAACCCTTCAAGATGCTGAGCTAACTCCTCATCTTGCCCTACGCACGGAGGGTTTCCCATTGGCGAAGCCCTTATAGAGAAGAATAATTGCTGGTAGATGAAAATGATCCAGAAAAATTTGAGCTAGTTTCAATCTGAGGATTGGACGCTAAGATTCAGTGAATGGAAGAACCAACAAAGAAGATCGCTCTCATAGAGAGAATAAGATCGCTCTCATAGAGAGAATTTGCTTATTGCAACGTTATATGCAACTTCTATTGAAGATGAAAGAAAACAATAATGGAAGAACACCAGGTCTCATCGAAAAGCTACAGCAAGACAAAAATGTACAAGTATTGCAAGCAATCAACTAAGTACTATGCAATTATAATATTATGTCAATTTATTTATTGCATTTCATGAATTTCGACCATTGATACTTTGAATACATTGTATTATTCACATAAACATGTTGTCTATAAACATTTTTTTAAAAATATATTATTCAAATGTTTCAGTTTTTCAAATAAGATATCATATTCCAGTCTTTAGTGTCACGCCTAAATATTTCATTTATACTTTTATTAGTAAATTTTTTTAAATATTTTTGAAAAGTGACGGCCAATCATTTAAAATTAAAATAAAAAAATCTATATAATTAATGTACAAAATCATTCTGGTCAAATATGACAACTGTTACCATCAAATAATGTAAATATTTTAAGTAAGTAAAAATAAATGAGAAAGAAAACTATAGAAGAAAATATGAAAGTAAAAGTAATGATTGAATAATGAAAAAATTAAACCACATGAAAGGTAAAAAAATAGAATAACATATAATGGGAAAAAGTAAATGATAAAAGGAAAGGAAATATTATAACATATTTGGTAATTACACGTTTCCTAAAACCATGTTTAACATTGAATTAACTTATGATGCTAGATCCAATTTTATTTTGTATTTAAGTAACAAAGTAATATATATTATGTACAAGTTTGATGTATATTGCAATTCAAATCACGTTTTTCTTCAATTCTAGCATAGTGTTTCTTTTGAAAATATGATCGATGTACATTACATATAAAACTATTATATGTTACAAATTAAAATGGCATATATATATATAAGTTTGTATTTAATTTAAATATAAATTAATATTCTGCCTAAAATTTTTAAAATTACTAAACATGGTAATATTTTTTTGAAAATTTTCAAAAAGACTTGCCTCTACAAATTAATTAATCAAATTATGGTATAAAGTTGAAAAAATTAATAAATATGATTTTGTAATACAGTGGGAGGTTTTATTTGAGGTATCTGATGATCTTTTTTTTTTTGTAGAAAATGTGTTGTTATTAATAAATGTCCGAACTTATGATATAAAGGGGGCGATTTTATTTTGGTTTGAAATGTCCGAATGGTATGAAATTTATTTGGTATGGATAGAAGTGTATTTCAAAATTTTAAAAACAAAATAAGTGGTAAGAATTTTATTTGGTATGAATATGAAAATCGAATTTAAGGTTGATTTGTTATAAATTTTGGTGATATGATTTTCAAATTTTAGTATATTCCCATAATAACTTGCCATAGATATTGATGATAATTCGACAAATTGACATGTATTCCTCATGAAAAAATTAGAAAGTTTTTGAATAAATACTTGTTAATAAAATTTAAAATTTGTAATTTAATTCTAAAGAATTAATTGATAAATCTGAACGATAAGGTAACCGGCAACAATTCTAGAAAATGTCAAGGTAATAAATGTGTGTGTGCATGTGTATGTGTGTGTGAAATATATAAGGGAATTTACTGTGTATTCTGAATTTGGGTTCTAAATTTAAAAGTCAAATAAATAATTATTCATACTTACGAGCCAATATTAACTTGAACATAAATAGAATAGTCAATTATCTATAATAAATAAATTACTCAACTACTTATTTTTTTATTTGGATAGCTTATACAAAAGTAAATTCATTTTAATTAATGAAATATTATAATTATACTTATTATTCGCTTATATTTTTAAATATATGATAAAATTTTACCAACATAATTATTTTATGAAATCACATTGTGGTATAATCGTTTTTTTATGAAAATTAACTTTAAACTGACAGTTATTGTGAAATGAATACAATTTAACCTATTATAAATTACATTCACCGTACGAGTTGTGTACTAATTTTAAATAGACATGTTTTATGTAACATTTTCAATAATTTAATATAGGTAAATTGTATTACATATTTATTTTATATTTTAAATTTATAAATATTATTTAATGAATACTTTTAATTTATAAATATTAATTAATATCTTTTACCCGTGCATCGCACGGGATTCGTACTAGTTACAACATAACAACATAAACAGAGATGATATTATATCAGAGGCATTATTTGGTGAAGGCTCTAAAGTTACTAGAGAATTTTAAAGGTAGTTCCACGAAGCAAAAAAATCATTTTTTCAGGCAACAACTGAAGATGATTATACACTGACAGTAGATGCGTCTATAAGTGGTTGGAGAAGTTTTGACCTTCTAGAGGTTGTTTAATATGTTAAGGGCCAGTTTGTAACACGAGGAACTACGTATTTAGAAGTCATTCAACAATGGGTAAAGGAAAAAAATGAGTAAATTGAGAATCGTTTCATTGAATCAAAATATTCAAGTTTGAATACAAAAGGACTTAGGGGGCGATTGTATATGGATTGTACAGTAAAAGAATCAATCAAAACTCAACTTTAACTCAACTCAACTATTCCAATATTGTTAATATAATTAAATAATATCAACTAATCATTTTTACCCATCACATCAACTTTAATTCACTATTCATCCATTCACATAATTTTAACTAACCATCACTTTCAATCATTTTCTCCTACTTTTATATCAAATCAACTTTAATTATTTTATTTTAAATATTATTTTAATATATCCACTAACAACTAATTATACCACATTTTTTCAAACATAACTATAGTTAAAAAAAACCAGTTTTTAACTAGTTGAATTCATATCCAATCACGCCCTTAGAACTCAAAAGCTGTTTGCTTCTAAATTATAGAAATTTATCAAGAAACTTCAACCACAATATTTCGAAACCTTTCAATTTAAGAATATAGACGGGAAATGAATGTTCTGAAATATCTACATGTCATTTATTATAAAAAGAATCACGTAGGAAGACAAAAGAGTGAAATATATAACAATCATACCTCAACATCCGAAAACCCAACAAAGGTATCAAGTTGACCAAAGTGAGCCTGCACAGGTGCCTCAGCTTTGGTAACATCCGCAAGTTCACGCGAAGGCACTCCATAAAAAGATACCACAGCATCAATCCCCGGAACCAATACAGAACTTGCAATAGCTAGGGCACTACCCATGCAGAACCCAGTAACACCAACCTATAACAAATCTTATTAGTAAAACAAGAATTATACCAGTGCATAGAGCCGTATCGCCTCGAAAATAAGCTAAGTGGAAAGAAATGGCCTAGGTTAGAAATAGATTCATTGAGGGTCCTCGCAATGTAAAAGTAGTTTCCAAGAACTATTTATGCAATACAAGTTTTCCAACTCCAAATATGGCATAGATTAAATTCATAGGATAAAATCGAAAATTCAAATCATCAACAGAACAGGTGGCAGGTTATGTATATCACCTAATGCTAGCATTCATGGTTATAAGGAAATAATGCTAAAGTTCCAAACTTTCTTTCTTCTCACATTGGAAGATTCATCATACATTGAGAAATTTCATCGCCTAGCACAATGTCTATTAGAAAATAACAGGAAACTACACCAATAGAAATACATGCTTATTTCTCAACACAACTAAGAGAAAGTTAAAGCACTAGTAACTAGTACCGACTATGGACTTCTTCATAGATTTCTGCCCCACAGCTATGTACTTTAGACATTATAAAACGCCACACACCTTCTTAGAACCTTCTGCCTTGAGCCAGTTGACAGAGGCTTCAATATCCTTCACCGCGCCTTTCCAGTCAAGATTATCCATCAAGTGTTGAGCTTCAGTAGCGTTTAGACCAACCCTCCCTCTGTACAAGCTAATTGACAAGAAAAGGAAAAGGATAAGAAGCAGACAACTACGAATACCTTAAGAGAAAGTTACAGCCATAAAACGAATAGTATAATAAACATCAGAAAAAAAGGGTAAATCTCAACTTGCATGACAAAAACTCTGTTTCTTACTCTGGTATCAATGCTTTGTAGCCCTTATCAAACCCGACAATCTTCTGCGCATGATTCTTGATCTCAAAATCAACACCCCACCATTCTTGAAGCACAACAATCCCCGGAGCATCATCTCTCCCGATCACATAGGCATCAAATGTCTACTCAACAAATTTTCCATTCAGAAAAATTCTCAAAAACATACATAGGTAAATGCAAGAGCTTAAACGTACTCATTGGACACCATAAAACAAAATGAAGTACATGTGAACTAACATCCACATAGATATCACTTTCTAGCCTTTCTTGATGTTTTTCTGATAGATAAAAACAGAATCGAAGTAAATTTATAGACAACAGACAAATGATTGTTGTACACAAGCAGATATTCAAACTCAATTAACTAAAAGTTCCATCTTTCTCATCACGAGTCTACACTAATAATATAATATATTAGACCAAAAAAACCCTAACTAGAGGAAATGAAAACCAGTTTCCTTCAACAAATTGTGACAACGATGGAGCCCAACAAAAGATCAACCCTACCGAGTTATTTCCCTCAATCTGGACTTTCTTGAATGGCGAAGAAACGTCAGAATTGGTCGCCATTGCACGAACCTGACGGAGTAAACTGGAGGGAATAAAACGGGTATTCACGGATGAGAATCGTGAGAAAGAAGAAGATTTTGATCTGTTGACGAGGGGTCTGGCGACAATTCTGCAACCGTAATACGCCATGCCTGTTCGAGTTTCTACCACTTCAATGTTCAAAGTATGAAGGTGTTTTCTCACCTTCAACCAAAAGCCAATTAGTAAAACCCTGCGTACTTCGTAGTTTGTAGTCAAAACTAGCACGGTCAAGATAATTGATAAAGTGAGACCCACGTGTAAGCATAATTAATATAGTGCCAAACAAAATATGCATGAGCATCCTCGAAATTTATTGATAAAATGTAAAATTAATTATGCGATGATCTATGTGATAGACAAATAAAAATAATTAATAAAATGCGAAAAGTCGATAAACATGTCTTTATGAGGTTGATTGATAAAGTCTGAAACAAATTATGCGATAAACTATGCAACAGTAATACGGATATAATTGACAAAGTGCCAAAGTGATTAAGCGACAGACAGACGAAGATAATTATCGTTTACGAATAGAATTCATATTAGAGTTGAAAAAATAAAAATTGAATTATCAAAACGTAACTAAGAAATGATTGACATAAGCTGTCAATAAAAAATAATTTTTTTAGTCATTAATTTTGGCAAAAAAATATGTAACATGAAAATTTTAATATGTCGAGGTCCAATTTCAACTAACTACTAGCGCGTAGCCCGTGCGATACACGGAATGATATATTTTTCTGGAATGTTTAACATGTAAAATATTAAAATTAATATAATTTATATATATGTAACAAAAATAAATGGATCGCAAAGAAGGTAAAAAAATTAAAAATTATTGAATACTTTCTTATTGTACACAACGTTTTTGGTTTGGGATAACGATGTCATTGACTCTTGTTTACAGAAATTGCGTAAGAAACCATAACGTCATTGTTTCATAAGTATGTAGTGTATATTGATATGACTGCAAATAATGATATTTATCAAGTAGAATGGTTCCTTGCATATTAACAGTACGTGTTGATCTTGTAAAATATTGCATGTATATATCATGAAATAAATGTCGTATAATAGATATATACCAAATAAATATATATCGCTTGAATAAATTGTTTGCTAGTGAACCGGTCAACACCAGTCGGTCAGAATGGTAGTAACGGTACAATTTTTTAAATAAATTTTGTTACATTTAAAAATATTTTTAATATAAGTAAAAATAAATATTTAAATAAAGTGGACATTTATAAATTATTTATCATTTAGTTAAACATTGAAATTTTTTTAAAATGTTCATATATTTAATTAATATTTTTAATAAATTTATTATAAAAAGTACTATATATATATATATATTAAAATTAATAATTTAAATTCTGATGCAATTAATAAATCATTGAATAAATAACTTGATCGCTTTGAAAACGGCCATCTCCTGAGAACTTTGAATTTACCGTACATTGATAAAGTTATAATGCAACATCATTTTGTTCACATAAATATTAATAAAATAAAATATAACTGTTCATAATTCCTTCAACATATTGTCACAAAAGCATTCTTAATATGATTATTTGGAGTAAGAACTACATAACATTTATTTTAATAATGTATTCTTAATATTAAAAATTATATTTAATTCAGTAATCGATTTGGTCTGGTCAAATTGATCCATAACTTGGTCACTCGGGATCAACCTCAGTTGTGTCATTGACCAATAACTCGATTACCCGGGATCGATTTAGTGTATATCTGCTACAATTTTTTAGAACATTCAATATCAAATGAGTATAACATTCATTTATATAAGTGAATATAAATTTCCTATACTATATAGACCATTTGCACGGATGATTTATATCCATTTTTAATTAGTTAAAAAATCATTTGATATTTATTTGTTTATCGAATAAAAATATCAATGCTATAGATACTTTAAGATTCGATATGCACATTGTTTATTAGTCAAAGAATTTTAATGTATTGCCCGTAAATTTACATATTTAATTATACCTATGCATATTTAGGACTCTACACATTTAAAATCATATTTCGAAAAATTCAAAATTATTTAATTAAACCAGAAAGTCCGATTATATATTAATTATATAATTGAGAGCAATTATTAATTAGGACAATTTTTGTAAAGAGTCTTTCAATGCAATTTCCGATTAGCAAAATCAAACATAGAAAAATCGTATATAGATATTACATAAATAATATTTCTGTTAAAATCAGATTTTTAAATAATGTCTTCATAAAAAGTGAGATTATAAAAAATTATATATATTTTTCTTAATCGATAATGAATATTGACTTTAAAAAAAATTAAGAAAGACAATTGTGAACTCTCGATAAACATAAAATTAAATCTCTAAACAATATAATATGCCATAGTTCATTCCAAATAAAAATATCAGCCACAAATATATTTAAATTTCCAAAGTAGATTTACTTACAAAGGGCATGCCCAATAAAAAGGAAAATCTCGATTTATTTCCAAAACAGATTTATTTACATGCATGAACTGTACAACAAATGCAAAGTTTAAATTTTGAACTGATTTTCTATAAGTGATAAGTCAAAGGATTTGACCCAAACTTTTTATCAACTTTCCACAAATGATTTATTTACCATCCTCTTTCAATATATATAGATTCTAAAAAAGTTATCAATTGTAGTAAAATCTAAACTTTTAGGTGGAATTTACTTTCTACTTAAAGTAAAACCCTATTGCATTTTAATACTTTTTGGATAGTTTGGCTTCTTTAGCATTGGGAAAATGTTGGGATGTAAAAACTGAGTTTTAAAATCCGATTTATTATTAAAATATTGTTAATTAAATAAAATTTGATAGTTGGGATTTGAGAATCCTAACAAATTTTAACACTTTGGATTCAAAGAGTCACAAAAAATTGGTAACTCTTTCTTTAATAAGCCAGTTGAATCCGAATTTATGTATCTTTTTATTTATTGAAAATCACATTTGTTATTTAGGCATTTTTTTTTTTTTTTTGNATCTTTAATTAAATGAAATAGTTGGGATTTGAGAATCCTAACAAACTTTAGAGATAAACTAATAAGAGTATATTTAATAAATCTGGATTCTAAATGTCACAAAAAAAAATGGTAAATACTTTATCTACCACTAATATCCAAATGTATATTTTATTCTTTGAAAAACTTGCCGCTTTCATTTGTTATTAATACGGTATGATATTAGTTGTAATTTCAAAATTTTAATTAAATGAGAGATAGTTGAGATTGGAAAATCCTAACAAATCTATCACTAAAATTCAGCCGCACAAAAAATTGAATACATAGGCGGGAGAATCCAAAAACTTTTAAAATACAACTAGTGCGTGGCCCGTGCGATGCACGGGAAAACAATATTTTGATTATATTATAAATTAAATAAATAAATAACATTAATCATGATTTACCCATTATTTTTAAATTAAATCGGGTTGGACACAGTCCGACCGGATGGACCGAGAACCGGTTTATAACCAGTCTATTGCGCTTGAATAAAATATTTGCTATCGAATTCGTCAACATCAGTATGTTGGACTGGTAGGATCGATACGATTTTCTAAACAAATTTTGTTACATTAAAAATTATTTTAAATAAAATTACATATTTAAATAAAATAGAGATTTATAAATTGTCTATCAATTAGTTTAAAAATTTGAATTTATAAATTGTTTAGATATTTAAGTAATAATTTTTATTTAAATTTATTACAAAAAGTATTATATATATATATATATATATATATATTAAAGTATTATGTATTAAAATCTGAACAACCACAAATGATTTAATAAAATAACTTGATCGTTTAGATGACGTTCTGGTTCTAAAAACCTTATATTTACTGTACATTAATAATTATTTTGTTCACATAAATAATAATAAAATGATGTATAAATATTCATAAATCATTAATCATGTTGTCGTAAAAGTATTGTTAATATGATTATTTGAAGTTTGGACTACATAATAAAGTATTTTCAATATTAAAATTTATATTTAGGTTCAATAATCGATTTAGTCTGGTCAAACTGATACATAACTTAGTTACCTGGGACCAACTAAGTTATGCTAAGTTTTTTGACTATTTTAAATATCATCTAAAAGTAATTCACAACGTGGGCAATACCCTAATTCAATCACCAGATTGATCCAAAGTAATTTCATTATTTTCTTTAAATATAATATTTAATTCTATGAAATAAAAAAATTTATGATTCATATGTCTACACCAAATGATAGTATATTAAGATTATAAATTATATATCTAAAGATGAATTATTTATTTTTAGTTTATGCATATTAATAAAAAATAAACATAGTAATTTAAAAAAAAATCAAGATTAATTGATTGGGGTATATATATATATATAACATTATTGAATTTATGGATTTATTATTAAAAGTCAAAAAAAAAAGATGCCATAAACATTACAATTTTGAAAAGTTTGTAACCATTAATTTAGGAATCATCCGATTTTAAATGATTTATAATTTTTGAAACAGGATACGTCATCTAAAACCCATTAATTTAGGAACCATCCAATTTTTTGATAATGAATTAAAATTAAAATGTAAATAAAATAAATGCTAAAAATAGTATATAATAAATGTGGGTTGACTTTTTCTTACTACTATTTATGGTAAATGTTAATTCTTATTATATATATATATATAGATTTGTCAAATCTATTTAGTAATAGAATTAAATAATTAATTAAATCTGGCCCAATATCATAGGTGAAAAGTGGGCTTTTAAATATTTAACATATTCAAAACACACTGGGCCGAGTAAATGGTTTGTAAGATTGGGGCCAATATAAATTAATTCTTCAAATGCCGATGGTTTGAGTTCACTGGCCCAGTACATGGTTTTTACACATCTGAAATTTGTGTACAGAATTACAGATCGAACGGCTGAGTATCTAACGGCCAGAATTAATGGAAGTCTGCTATAAAAGCCTACAAAGCCCGATCTTTTAGGGTTATTCACTTTCACTATTCCAGATTCATCTTATCCGCCGCTTCTTCTCTCTCAGTTTTGATATTTTGACTCTCGTTTTTTTCTTCTCTTTGTTGTCGATTTTGTTTTAAGTTTAAGCAAATTAAAACAGATCTATAAAAACGATTGTGAGGCATCGATTTGGGTTTTTTCGATATTCGGAATACATGTTGCATATTGATGTGCGACGCGAATCGATTTGGATTGTTACGATTTCCAATCATATCCTATATAATTTTTGTAATTTTGAGTCGATGTGAGCTATTGCTGGAAGAATCATATTTCAAACCCCGTCGATCATTACATGGTGAATAGGTAAGTTGAAAAATAATTTTGATTTTTTTTTTTTTGGAATGGTCTGACTTCTTGCATATTTTTCTTTTGTTCTATTTTATAAATTGCATGTCTCGATCTGATATGTCGAAACCTAATGCTTTTTGGCTGTCGAAAATGGTTTACAGTAGCCAGATCTACTGGAATCTGACTCGCTCTTCACAGATAATGTGAATCGACAGTCGGATTTCGAGAAATGATAAAGAAAATACATTTGTCGGTCTACGATTTTTGTAATTTTCGTCAATTTATTTTATGTCGGCCTACTTTTTTTTTGGGTTGAAATATATAAAAAACAGAATTGAAGAATCGACGAAACAAACTTGTTGGTTGTTAATTGTAAATAATTTCATGGGGCTTTCATAAATTAACTATTACCATTTCGATAGAATAATGATAGTTTCTATGCGTTTTTGGATGGATTCAATATGTGTTAGTACTGTCCAGTTTCAGATTTTATAGAATATCATATCACTGTATATTACTAACATCAAATATATTATTCTAAATGTATGAGGTGGAGACAAAATAATCATCTACTGAATCGGGATACAAACCTATGTAATCAGACAGGCAAGTTCTTCGAATACACTTCAACTTGTTTCTACAATTCCATCAATTATTTATCATATAGTATACTGAACTGATATATTTTATTAACATAGGATACTTAAAAATTTGAATAGTAAATTATTATTAAATTTAGATCATTAAAATATCCTAAATTTAACCAATTTAGTGAATATACTACTACAATTTAAATCGAATAGTGATTTTTTTTTTTTAATTTTGCAGATTCTGATGCCGGCTGCAGTAACGGCTGAAGGCCGATTTTTTTGGAATCAAACAATCAACCACTGAATTTTTGTATCAGCTCTCCTCAAAAAAAGCGGAAGGGTTGCTACGCTACAATTGATTAATTATTTAGTGCTGCAATGTAATGTAATTAATGTGTTATTATTATGGTGTGAAAAGGACAAAAAAAACTTTCTATTTGTGGTAAATATTTAATGCAGACAGGATCTTGACTAAGAGTTGACCTACTAAATTTGAAAAAGGTTAATTCTTATTATATAAGTATAGATTCTATTAATGGTATAAAACGAAAAAATGAGAGGAAAAATGATATACTATTATTGTATTTTTTTCTCTCTCTATTATATAGTAATAGATTATTTTCAACAAATATAATCAAAATGCCAGCCACATCAAGTTTAGAAAAAAAAAAAAATCAAATTTATTAATTGAAATTTAATTCATTACACGTGATATATACAAATTACTTCATTAACTGTTTTAGCAAAGTAACGTTTCTTTCAACACAAATGTCCAAATAACAATGTAATTTTTTTTTCAGGAACAATAGATAGCATCCTTAAATCAATATTAAAAATTTCAAACAATTAAAATAAATCATTCTATATTTTATCCAAAATATTTTTCAGGGACGCATAAAGGTTATTTATATTTTTGTATTTGAAAATCTACATGAAAAACGCATATGAAGTTTCCCTTTCGTTTGCCTCTAATTTTTCATCCAAAATCTACATGAAAAACGCGTATGAATTTTCCCTTTCGTCTGCCTCTAATTTTTCATCCAAAATCTTGGTTCATCCCCGTTTTCCCCTTACGTCTGCCTCTAATGAAATATATTATATTAAGTTGACATTTTTTTCCCCCTAAGGCTTTGGCTCGTTTCATGCAAGGATGAATCAAAGGAATAATTACGAAAACTCCCCGAGATTTATTCGGATTACAACAATATCCAAAGATTTTAAAAATTAAATCCCCACATCCCATCTAGTCTTGATTTGGTCTTAAATTATTGAATTTAAATTTTTTTCAAAAATTTTCAAAAAACATTTAGGCGGGATTTTTCAAAATTTTCAAAAAAAAATTACTATGTTTAGTAATTGTTTAGGCGGGATTAAAATGATTTTTTAGTTTCTATTCTTGGATTATTTAGGTTGCCTCTTTATATATTAATTGATAGTAAATTTTGTTACGTATTATATACATATTTAATTTATAAAAACATTATCTCACAATAATATATGATTTTTCATATTTTGTACAAAATAACTAACTTGGGTGACAATTTGGGTTAGAACCAAGTGTAAATAAGTCAATCCAAATGGACTTTCTAGCATTATTCTCGCACGGGATGGACATAACCTCCATTAAACTCGCACATACACAACTTCCTTGCCTTCTCTTCACACTATCTTTTTCCTCGCCAGACTGTCCCCCTCTGTTTTTTTGTTTTTTTTGTTGGTTTTTTTTTTCTTATGTAAATTTATACGCACGAAAAATCAGAATCAAAACTTATTTATTTTTTTTGTGTCGCACAGACACATCCATAGATTCCACGCCCAAAATTCTCTCAAATTTTAGATCGGACAGCCATAGACTAGACGGAGTCCTTCGTGTTCAGCCTCGATGACGTTTGGTAAGGTGAGTATTATTTTGTTAATGAAGTATAATTAAGATAATGCATTTGGGTCGGCAAAGTGGGCTGTATAAAACCCTAATAATGTTTNTTATAGATGGGAAAGGGATAGGATAGAGGAGCGGTGAAAAAATATTTGAGTAATTTAACAAGAAAAAAGATTTTGTAACTCATGTACTCTCTCATTTTTCGTAAAAGATAGTTATTATTAATTATTATTGTGGGTGTGGATAAATTCAGGGCTTTGGGGGCCAATAGCAGTATAATAATAATTGGAGCTTTGAAAGAATCTACATCCATCAATTCAATTCATGGCCATGTTAAGCCGCCGCGCAGCCGCCGCCGCCACCGCTACCTTATCTCGTACTCTGTCCCTTGTCAATCCGGCCAAACACACCACAGCCAGATTTTCGACCACCTCACCGATGAACCATCAGCCACCGCCTTGGCTTATGCTGCCGCCGACCTTTGACGCCGCCAACAACATGGTTCATAACTTTTACGTCCTCGGAGAGAACCAAGTGATGAGCGTCGTAAAGGAAGAAGAGGAGGAGGAGGAGGAGGAGGATGAGGACGAAGACGAGCTCTTTTGTTGGCAGGACCGCAATTTTAAGGCGATGGGGTCCTCCCCCGGCTGGCTCGTCTTTCTCGACACCCGAACCAGCCACCTCTTCATCGCCGATCCCATCATTGCCTTCCACATGAAGCTTCCGCCCATCCACACCCAAGTCACCAGCATTGCTCTCAACTCCCATCCCTCTCTCTTTAACCAAGGCCGCGCCTTCGCCACTTTCGGTCCCGACAACAGATTGGCCTTCTGCACGCCTCATGGCCGGCACGAGTGCAAGTGGGCCGCTCTCGGCCACGGTACCGGCTATGCTTCGGTGGTTTACTCCAAAGAGCGTGAGCTCTTCTTCTGCTGCACCGACTCCCGTCTGGAGGCTTGGGACCTCCGCGACCCCCTATCCCCCACCATGCTGCCAATGCCCATCTCGTCGTTTGATAAGAGGAATTACCCCCCGGGTACCGAGTACAATTTCCTTGTGGTCGCTGAGCCGTCGGGAGATCTCTTCCACGTGAGGCGGTTTGTGACGGTGGATAGTTCGGGACCACTCGGTTATGGTGGGCCACACCTTGGTTTCTATCACGGTTCCCCTTACAGGACTCTCGGTTTCGATATCCACAGGTACGACCCAGACACTGGCTTGTTCGTGTACATGGACTGCTCACTAGACGGGCTTGCGTTTTTCGTCGGGTGCAACAACGGGCTTGCGATCCACACTGACCAGTACCCTGAGCTGAAGCCCGACTCCATTTACTACACAGCGCCACCGGCATGGATCCACTGGAGCTACGGTGGCCATGATGTTGGCATCTTCGATAATCGAGACAAGAGTTTTTCACCCTGTTTTTATCCTCGTGACGTGCAGAGCAAGAAAATGGTTAGTGGGCCCATGTGGTTTAGGTCCAAAAATATTTCGAGGCGTACGTTCCTCGTGCACAACCACGATGGTACTCTCACTATTACTCCCAAACTTCCAAAGTAAGCAAACCACAGAGTGTCTCCGTGTAGCCAACTCAACTTGGATACTAGTTAAGTTTGTTTTTTTTTCTGTTTCAACTTGAATACTAGTTAAGTTTGTTTTTTTTCTGTTTCGCTTTGCTTGTTCGGACTTGTTCGTCAGCACGCATGTATTATAAGCAAGGTTTCGAACTGTAGCCCTATTCATTGTCATTAGAGAGACAAGTTTCACAAAATTTTGTTTCAGTGCAACATGTCATCGAAAACGATTGGAAAAGGATCGAGTCGATCTCTTGAAGTACGTTTTCTTTGCGTTTTCTGTTCTGCTTTAAACGATGTCGGTGCGCGAGTTTCTATGAATAAAATTGGGGTTCGACGAACCAACGGGTTCAGTTACAAATAACAAACAAGGATGAAGAAATGAAAATTAGGCAATTTTGTATTTCCAACTTTCATTTTTTTATTTATCTAGGGCTATACGGACTCGAACCGTAGACTTTCTCGGTAAAACAGATCAAACTTAATTATTATCAAAATGATCTGAGCTGTTTCAAAAACATTTTGTTTCAGTGCAACATGTCATCAAAAATGCTACTTCTGTAGGTACTGTTAGATTTCAGGTATAAAAATTACACGGGAATCTTACGAACTGATATGTAATTTTTTAGTTCTTACAAATAATCTAAAAAATAGAAAATTACAATTGAACTGAAAAAATAAATTACAACTGAAAAATAAATTAAAACAGAAAGATTTTAGCCGAGGCGAGTAATACTCTTTCCGCAAGAAGAATACGCCCCGCTCTTTCCGCAAGAAGAATACGCCCCGTGAGAATACGCCCCGCTCTTTCCGCAAGAAGAATACGCCCCGTGTGGCAGCTAACGGTTCAGGCGTAACTTCCCCAAAGATACAACGGCAAACGTCTCTAAATCTGTAGCACACCAGATTTACGAGCTCCAGCGAACTGGAACGGAATTGAGAATTGAGCACTAAAAATAAAAATATATATGATATTTTTATTTCTTTTTCTTTTCTTTTCTCACGTTTTTTTTTCTCTCCTTTTCTCTTCTTCTCTCTCTTCTTTTTCTTTTCTTTCCTTCCCCTTTCTTTCTTTTCCTTTTTCTACCTTGTCCTTTTGATCTCTTTTCTGTATCCCTCCCCTCAGCACTCCAACACCAATTTATAGAGGTGCAATGGATCAATTAAATATGGTAGTTGATGTGAGTGCATAAAAAAAAATCGAGTGGTTTTGGAAGGTTTAGAAAAAGTCAAATACAAATGGATGGTTGTCATATAGTGGTTGGAATATTAGGAAGAATAGGTTGGAATATTAGGAAGAATATTATGTTAAATATTAATTTAACACTCAATCATTACAATCCCCCACATGAGTGTAAATTAAATATATATTGACTAGTGTGCTCAATCCTCACAAAACTTTATTGCATCAGAAAAGGTAGCTTTTTGCTTTGAACCTTTCTTAGTAAACATCATCGGATGTACTGGCAGACTAGTGGACATAATGTTTTGAACTATTCCTCCATAGTGTACACCGAGACAATGACATTCACACAATACAGTCTTAACTCCATTCTGTTCTATCGTTGTGTCCGTTTTGACCATGGACAACACAATGGATTCATAAGTGTTTACATTTGAAGCGGCCCACACGTCACACTTATATAGGTGACCTCCCTATCAAGAGTATCCTGTCATACTCCACCTTTACAAGGTTAGAGATTCATTAAAAGTCCACATGACTTACCCTCACCACAATCAACAGGTCATCTTGCACTTGGAGTGCTCTAGGAAATAGCTTTGGACATTCATATGTTCCAAGTGCTCAACTGAATTTTCATAGTTTAGTTTTCCCTTTGAACCAAGTTTGTGGGATCTCCATTCAGCATGGTAGAGTTACCACTATGGTCATTCTTTACATTGTGGGTTTTTAAGCCCATTCCCTCTAGCAAAACTACCAATTGATCTCTATTCAATCCTTTCGTCAAAGGATCAGCCAAATTTTCTTTAGACTTCACATAGTCAATGGAAATAACACCATTTGTGATCAATTGACGTACGGTATTATGTCTACGACGTATATGTCTAGACTTACCGTTATACAAGTTGCTTTGCGCCCTTCCTATAGCAGCTTGGCTATCACAGTGAATCATCACAGGCGGCAAAGTCTTATCCCAACATGGAATATCGGATAAAAAATTTCTAAGCCACTCGGCTTCTTCACCAGCTTTATCTAAAGCGATAAACTCCGATTCCATAGTTGAACGAGCTATTACACATTTGTTTTGTGGATTTCCACGAAACTGCACCTCCTCCAATACAGAAAACATATCCGCTAGTGGAGCGAGAATCTCTCGAATCTGATATCCAGCTTGCATCACAGTACCCTTCAAGTACGACTGGGTATCTCGATTATTTTAGCCCGTATTCAAGGGTGTACCTCAAGTACTTAAGTACCCTTTTCAAAGCATTCCAGTGTTCATGACTGGGATTACTCGTAAATCTGCTCAACTTATTCACCGGATAGGCTAAGTCTGGTCGTGTACAATTCGTCAAGTACATTAGACTTCCTATTATCCGTGAACATTTCAACTGAGCCACTGGTTGACCTTTATTGGCTACCAGATTTATACTGAGATCAATGGGTGTCTTACACCTAGACTGTGCACCGTCATAGGTATCAAATTTCTTGAGCACTTTCTCTACATAATGAGATTGTGACAAGACAATTCCATCTTGGGTTCTGATAATCCTTATGCCAAGAATAACATCAGCCAAACTCATATCTTTCATGTCGAAATTTCTTTTCAACATTCTTTTCGTATCCATGATCACTTCATGGCTGCTCCCCATGATCAACATATCGTCTACATATAGACATACAATCACAAATGCATTTGATGTACTCTTGACATAAACACATTTGTCACATTCGTTGATTTTGAACTCATTTGATAACATCACGTCATCAAATTTCAAATGCCATTGTTTCGGAGCTTGTTTCAGTCCGTACAAGGATTTGATCAATCTACACACCTTTCTCTCTTGTCCAGGTGCAACAAACCCTTCAGGTTGTTCCATGTATATTTCTTCTTCCAATTCACCATTTAAAAATGCCGTCTTGACATCCATTTGGTGAATCTCAAGATTGTGCAAAGCAGCAATCGAGAGAAGCAGTCTTATCGACGCTAAACGCGTAACTGGTGAATAGGTATCAAAGAAATCATACCCTTCCTTTTGTTTAAAGCCTTTAACCACCAAACGTGCTTTAAACTTATCAATCGATCCATCAGCTTTATATTTCTTCTTTAGGATCCATTTACATCCTAAAGGTTTACAACCATCAGGGAGATCAACCAACTCCCAAGTATGATTTTGCATAATGGACTCGATTTCGCTATTTACAGCTTCTTCCCAGAGTGGTCCATCTGGGCTGGACAGAGCTTCCTTAAGGGAACTCGGTTCATCGTCCAACATATACGTAATAAAATCAGGTCCAAACGTTTTCACCGTTTTTACCCTTTTACTACGTCTCGGTTCTTCATCAGTACCATCTGGTACAGAACCACTAGCAGTTTCATATGTTCGTTTATTAAAACTAGATTCTGCCCTTTCCTTTAGAGGAAATATATTCTCAAAGAATATAGCATTCCTCGACTCAATCGTGGTACCAACAGATACCTCTGGATTTTCTGATTTATGAACCAGAAATCTATATGCTGTACTATTGTACGCATATCCAATAAATACACAATCGACCGTCTTTGGCCCGATTTTCATTTGTTTGGGTTCCGGTACTGAAACCTTAGCCAAACACCCCCACACTTTCAGGTATTTATAAGACGGCTTACGATTTTTCCACATTTTGTAAGGAGTCTCATCTTTCCCTTTAGGTGGTATTTTATTCAGAATATGATTTGCTGTTAAAACAGCTTCCCCCCACATGTTTTGAGGTAATCCTGAATTTATCAACATGGCATTCATCATTTCTTTTAAAGTACGGTTCTTGCGTTCAGCAACACCGTTTGACTGTGGAGAATAAGGGGCAGTCGTTTGATGAATTATGCCATATTCGGAACATATTTGTTCAAAAGGAGCTACATACTCCCCACCCCTATCGCTTCGGATTATTTTAATCCTTTTGCCGAGTTGATTTTCAACTTCGGTTTTATAAATTTTAAATGCTTCCACAGCCTCGTCTTTGCTTCTTATAAATATAAGTAGCAAAACCTTGTGCAATCATCGATAAAAGTAATAAAATACTTTTTACCCGTTCTTGTTTGCACACTTTTCATATCACATACATCAGTATGGATTAAGCCTAATGGTTCAGTACACCTTTCCACCGAGTGAAAAGGCAACTTAGCCATTTTTGCTTCAATACAAATCTCACATTTCTTATGTGATTCTTTTAGAATTAAGAATTAATTCTAAATTCATCAACCGTTTAATTGCATTTCGATTTACATGTCCTAATCTAATATGCCATAAATCAGAGCAATCAACGGTATAAACAGAAATAGGCTTTTCATTATCATTTAAAACGGTTACACGGCTCACGGCCATTACATTCATTTTAAACATACCCTTGTCGAGATAGCCACGACCAAGGAAAGTTCCAAACTTGCTAAGAACAAATTTCTTAGCATCAAATACCAGCCTAAATCCATGCTCAACAAGAAGAGATCCGGAGACCAAATTCTTGCGGATGTCTGGGACATGCAGAACATCCTTAAGCTTCAACTCCTTTCCAGAAGTCAGCTTCAGCACCACAGTGCCCACTCCAGCCACATCAGCCGTGGCGGAGTTTGCCATGTAAAGTTTCCGACTCTTAGCAGGAGTGTATTCAGAAAATACCTTCTTATCAGAACACACATGACGAGTGGCACCAGTATCGATGTACCACTTCCTTGGGTTATCCACCATATTGGCTTCAAACACCACAGCCGACATATCAAAGTCGGTTAGTTCACCCGGCACAGGGCCGTGTTCAGCAACAAGGGCACTCGGTTTACCTTTCTTTGGCCCAGCCTTCTTTGGCCTCTTGCAGTCTTTAGCCATATGGTTCGGCTTTCCACAATTATAACAAGTTCCGGTAAACTTCCAAACCTTGGCAGGCTGCTTCCCTGTCTAGGGACTTTCTCTTGCTCGAGTTGCCTTGCTCTATCAAGTTAGCACGAGCCTCCATCATCGGAAATTTCCCCGATGAATTACGATTGTCCTCCTCAATACGAAGACGAACAATCAAGTCTTCAAGACTCATTTCCTTCCTCTTATGTTTGAGGTAGTTCTTGAAGTCTTTCCAACCCGTCGACAGTTTTTCAATCACAGCCGCAACTTGGAATGACTCGCTCAGAGACATTCCCTCAGCATGAATATCGTGCAAGATGAGTTGGAATTCTTGCACTTGTGACACAACGGTCTTTGTGTCAACCATTTTGAAGTCAAGAAATTTTCCGACGACGAATTTTTTCGCCCCGGCATCCTCGGTCTTGTACTTCCTTTCCAAAGCAACCCAAAGCTCTTTGGCAGAACCAACCGAGCTGTACACATTGTACAACTCGTTACTAAGTCCGTTCAGGACATAGTTACGGCAAAGGTAATCACCTTGCCCCCAAGTTTCGTACGCAGTGCGTAGTTCAGTATTGGTCTCATTTTCAGCAATAACCGGGGGGTCGTCCTTCAGGTATTTCACCAAACCCAAAGTGGTCTAGTAAAAATGCATCTTTTGTTGCCACCTTTTAAAATCAAGCCCATTGAATTTTTCGGGCTTCTCGGCAGTAGGGACATGGACAGCAGGTACATGATTGATCGGATGCTGAGTGTTGGAACCATTTCCGGTGGAAGCCATCAGTCCAGTAGGTTGAAATATTCTTCTTGCGATTGTTAGATTTCAGGTATAAAAATTACACGGGAATCCTACGAACTGATATGTAATTTTTCAGTTCTTACAAATAATCTAAAAAATAGAAAATTACAATTGAACTGAAAAAATAAATTACAACTGAAAAATAAATTAAAACAGAAAGATTTTAGCCGAGGCGAGTAATACTCTTTCCGCAAGAAGAATACGCCCCGTGTGGCAGCTAACGGTTCAGGCGTAACTTCCCCAAAGATACAACGGCAAACGTCTCTAAATCTGTAGCACACCAGATTTACGAGCTCCAGCGAACTGGAACGGAATTGAGAATTGAGCACTAAAAATAAAAATATATATGATATTTTTATTTCTTTTTCTTTTCTTTTCTCACGTTTTTTTTTCTCTCCTTTTCTCTTCTTCTCTCTCTTCTTTTTCTTTTCTTTCCTTCCCCTTTCTTTCTTTTCCTTTTTCTACCATGTCATTTTGATCTCTTTTCTGTATCCTTCCCCTCAGCACTCCAACAGCAATTTATAGAGGTGCAATGGATCAATTAAATATGGTAGTTGATGTGAGTGCATAAAAAAAAATCGAGTGGTTTTGGAAGGTTTAGAAAAAGTCAAATACTAATGGATGGTTGTCATATAGTGGTTGGAATATTAGGAAGAATAGGTTGGAATATTAGGAAGAATATTATGTTAAATATTAATTTAACACTCAATCATTACAGGTACCATTGTAGTTGAAGAGAGCTTTTCGTGTCTACTAGGCAGAGTTTACATCTGCAGGTACACTGCAGTGGGAACATCAAACTAAGAGTGAAAATTGCAGTGAAAACTATGAAAATAAACATAGGAACAATTGTGTAAAGGGTTTTCCTTTTTATTAAAAAATAAATAGAACATTAATTTTTGAGAAAAACCTTTTACACCCCCATTCTATAAAGCCATCTCCGGCCTTTATCTCAACTCTAGCGCGGACTTTACTCTACTGAAATATTCGTCTCCAGTCCTTATCTCTACATTTTACTCTACATCAAATATATTATATTTTTATTCTTTATTATTTCAAATAAATTGGTATATATATGTATATTTAATCTTATATAAATATTTATTACCCAAATAATAAAAATGTACTTTATTTATTTTTATTTGAAATTAATTGATATATATATATACATATGTATATTTAATTTTATATAATATGATTATTACCCAAGTAATAAAAATATATTTTATTTATTTTTATTTTAAATAAATTGGTATATATATATTTAATCTTATATAAGTGTTTTTAACAAATAATTAAAAAATATTTATGTATAACAACACGTTTGAATGTGTTATATTTTTATTCATATGGTAGTAATAAAAAATTATAAAATAAAATTATAATACATCAATAAATAAAAAATACAAAATTATTCAGCATAAAAAATACATTGTACAAAGTTATTTAGCATAAAAATACATTTATTGATATACATTATACAAAATTTATCATTAATATTACTCAAAAAAGAAAAAAAAAAATTGGCCGCAACATTGGAGAAGATGTTCTAGCGCAGCACTGTTCATATATCTGATGTAGAGATAAAATCCAGCGCAACATTGGAGAAGATTTCTAGTGCAACACTGTTCATGTATCTGATGTAGAGATAAAATCCAGCGCAACATTGGAGAAGATTTTTCACTCTACTCCAACGTTTTTCTCTATTTTAGAGCAGCGTTGGAGTTAGTCTAACTACTCTTATTTTTACACACCGTCCAAAAAAAAAAATCTTTTTCACCCCAAACGTCACGAAATGTCATGCGATATATTAATCGCAAAATCAAAATAAACAACATAATTAACCAATATTTGAGATTTTGTTCTATATATTTCAAGAGATATCTACATCGAACGCATATGTGAAATACTTTCTCATATTGATTTACCCGACTTATTATAATAACATAAATGCTCATCATGTCCAAAATTAGCACCAAGTCCTCTTGCAGGTGCTGTTAAGTTTAATTTTTTTTTTTTCCTCTCGTATTCTCCCTTTCTTTGGCATTACTAGTTTAAGTTTCATGTATGGCTTTAGTAGTAAGATCAAGCCCGAACACAATAAGCAGGTCATAATATGGGTCCCGGAAGTTCATGGATACCGACCCCAACCAAGTCCTACGGGCTTCACCGTAAACCAGTAGTCCCCAAACAAGACATTGGCCAGGCCCAACCCACCTATCATCCTTGGGAGCCAAGCAACCACAAGCGCATCTATCTAGTCAAGATAGGAAAGGAGTCCATCGCAGGCCAGCCGGAGACAACTTCAATTGCTGGACAAACACGAGAAAGTCGATATTTCTTTGGGTTTCGAAATCTGAGTTAAAATGCAATGTTATTCACCCTTCACTAAGATCATGGTATTTTGATAGTGGATGCACGCGTCAAATAACCGGTTGTCGTGATTTTTTTACGAACTTGGAAACCTATGAAAATGGATGAGTTGACGTATGAAGGAGGTGAACACGACAAGGTCATAAATGCTAAATGTGGGTGGTCTTTCGAGGCTTTAAATAGTATTGCTGTAGATGGATTTGGCTAACTTCATCAGCATAAGTCGACAAATGAATTTATAGCGCGGCCTCGGGCTTGGGCGTGGTTTCAATAGGGGCACCATCAACGCAGTTGAAGGCCTGACCGAAATAAGTCTGGCAGGAAAACAGCAGTTTTTTTTGCAGCAAATTTAATTGGAAAAAACATAGAAAAACAGAAAATAAGAGCCAAAAAGCTAGTAGAAAATTGGAGGAAAAAGGAAAAAAAAACCTTAGAAGCAAAATAGGAAAAGCCATCGAACAATGGGGCAAAAAGAAGAAATGATTTTATAAGGGCTTCCACTTTGATCAGCTGAGGACAAGGATGTCATTGTCAAAGCGAATTTTCATAGCATATTTACAAAGGCAATCTAACAGGAAAGAAGGGTTCCAACACAATGACTCAAAAGTAAAATTCAGAATATGCAAGATATCAACAGATACAGCAAATAAAGAACTTTCTGATAAAAGTTCCAGAGTTGAATTATCCAAAAGACTGCGTCTTTATTACATTATAGTCCAGGAAACAACAAAAGACATCACCACCATAAGCTTAAAATAGGTTATACCAAGACTCCTACCTCAAATATTAGCCATTTTCAAACAAAATATTACTATACCTCTTGGTTTCCAAATTCTGATTTCCCAACGAACCGAACTCCACTCTCCACACAAGGAACGAACTCCACACGATCATCATCAGAAATATTAAGACTAAGATGCTTAACCTCTCGAGTGTCGAGGCGAAAAAGGATTAGATATTCACCTCTTCCTTGAAAAAGCAGTTCGTCATTCGTCCAGAACCCTAATGGCTTAACACCACCAGGAACACAAAAAGTGGATACCCGCTCCCATGAACCATCATCATCACTTCTCACCCACAACTCACAAGCTTTTTCTTCTATCTCAGAATTTGGGTAGATTATATATTTCGGGTAGATTATAGCGGCAAGCTTCCCATCCCGCTCGGCAAGATGCAGGCTAGAATATGGCCTGAAACGCTTAGCGGAATCCGGAAGATCAAGGAAAGAAAATCGTTTACTTGCAAAGTCAAAGGTAAGAAGTCGCACCCTCCTGTTTCTCTCCGTCTCAAAATAAGCAACCCCATTTACAGAAGCAGAAATCCAGGCCAGTGATAAGCAATTAGAACCAAGGTGATCGGGTAATTCCTCCCAAGAATCGGACTTTAGGGAGTACAACTCCGCGTGAGCCGACATGGGGAAAGAAGGATGTTCGTCAGGAAAAGTGTTGTACACGAACCTTACTACTTTAAAATCTTGAGAATTACGATCGAACCCAATATTGGTACCATTAAACATGAGAAATTCAGCATCTGGATGGAGTTGGATGCAAGTCGAGGGAAGGAACTTAAATTCGTTAGTTGATGGGTTCCAAAGGGCAAGTCTCCCCTTAATAGACTTATCCTCGAGGCACACCACGCCATTGCAAGAGCCCTGGATCATAACACTACGAAATGGCAAATGGAGTTGTCGTGTTGATAATGATTTGTCATCCCGATCAAGCACAGAGAAATAGCTACACCTCCCGACAACGTCCCCATCAGTATTAATGTTGTTGCCATGTTTGCGCAGCAAAAGAGCAAGCTTTTCCTCAAGGAGGGAGCTTGTGCTGTCGATTTGCAGATGTCGTTTGGGGATGTAAAGCGACGGATTGTGTTCGATTGATGAGAGATTCCTGAAAAAATACCTGGAACTGAAGAGGGATCTTCGAGCAGCGTCCTTCAACATCAACATTCCCATATTGAATCCATGAAAGCTTGAGTGATTTGGTGCTCTGTTAAAACCATAGCAGCAAAATTTTATTTTTGGTCCTATAACTTGGCCACAGTCCAAAAAACCACCCCTATATTGACCACTTTCAATTTAGGTCCTATAACTTGTCAATTTAATCATTTATGGTCCTATTTTATTCGGCAGCGGGATTAAATTTTGACGTGGCATTTTTTTATCCGATGTGGCGCCTCATGTTAAGATAATAAAAAATTGGAGCAGTCACGTGGAAAATGAAACTGCCACATTAGGTATAACTCTCCTTAAAATCGATTTGCCCCAAAATCGAACCCTTAAGCCTAATTGAGAGAAGCTCGACCGAGAGAGAAAGAGAGAGCGAACATCGATGTCTTCTGCTTCTTCCTTCTCGACGCCTTCCAATTTTTTTTGTGATTGTAACAAGAGAGCTGTAATACGCAGATCACGGACTTCAACAAATCCTGGTAAGAAATTTTACGGTTGCAAGTATTGGAAGGATGGAGGTTGTACGTTCTTTAGATGGGTGGATGAAGATGTTCCCGAGAGCTCGAACAATCATATTATGGCCAATGAAATGATTGAGGTCAGGAAGAAGATGCTATTGCTTGAAGCCGAGAACAAAAAAATCAAGGAGATTGTTGAACTCCAACTTCAGCATGTGGAGGACATCTATGAAGAATTTTCCAATATTCGTCAAAAAATCTGGAAGCTCGTTGTGTTTGTTGCTGCAACATGGTTTCTCTTCATTATTTTGATTGTTGTCATGTGGTGAAAGTTGTATTTTTTTTATTGTTGTTATGTGTTGCAACAAGGTTGTATGTTTTTTCTTCATTTTGTGTTGTATGTTTTCCAAGGTTGTTTGTGTTGTTTGTGTTGTGAACACTTTGTGTTGTCTGATGAATGAATGAACACTATGTGTGTCAAACTTTTGCACCTATGTTGTAATGGAGATGTTGGTCTTGTTAATCTTGTTAGTTTTGTTTATCTTATTTTTGTTTATCTTAAACCGAACAATTTAAGTTCATCTGCAGAACAAGAACATTATAAACAATAAGAGGTGTACTTGTCCATAAGCAGAACCTATAAAATCAAACCATAACCTGAAGTCATAACCAGAACTTGGAACAAAAGTGACCTGAACTTTGAGTTCATCTCCATAACCATAAAATCAAACCATAAGCAGAACCAGACAGAACCAAAAAATTTTCACATACATTTCCATAACAAACACAATTCCAAACCAAAAGAACTTGTCCACAACCTGAACCAACTAAACCATCCACACAAAAACCAACCATTCAGTGACAATAACAAAAAACACCCTAATTCAGTTAATATCCAAAAACCAACCATCAATCAACAACACCCAAATTCAGTTTCAAAACACAACCAACTTATTTGGTTACATTCTTTCCCTTCTTTTTAGGATCAGCAGATGGAACAAGACTGCTAATAGAGGTGTACTTTTGGCCACATTCTTTGAATATCTCCCTCAATCTTGAATCTCTCTCAGTTAGGCAGCTCTCTTGGCTTGGTATGAAATGACCACTAACAAATGGTACTGGTCCTCTGATGACCACTCCTTTAGTGGGATGTCCCATCTGCATTTGTTGGTAAGGAGTTGGGGCAGCTTTGAACCATTGTGTTGCAGGGGCAGGGGCAGGTGGAGCAGGGGCAGGTGGAGCAGGGGCAGGTGGAGCAGGAGCAGGTTGAGGAGCAGGTGGAGGAACAGGTGGAGCAATAGGTGCAGATTGTGTTGCAGGGGCAGATTTATACCACTTTGTTGTAGCAGGAAAAACAGGGGCAGGGGCAGGAGCAGGTGGAGCAACAGGTACAGATTGGTTTGTAACCTAACAAGCAAGTTTTGGTTGTGTTAGTTTGTAAAGATGACTGTTAATAGTTGAAAGTCAAAGAACCTGAAAGATGACTACTTACATTAGTTGTGCTTTGTTGAGTTGACATTCCAACTGCTGGTACAGGATCAACCACCCTCTTTCTAGTCTGAAAACATAAACAAGTAAGGTCAGTTTGTGTTATTTTGTAAAGATGACTATTAATAGTTGAAACTAAAAGAACATGAAAGAGGACTACTTACTTTGCTTGTGCTTTCTTGTGTTGACACTCCAATTGCTGGGACAGGATCACTCCCCCTCTTTATAGTCTGAAAAAATGAACAAACTTATATGAATCAACTTTATATAAATGAAAATATGAATCAACTTATACAATACATGAAGACATTAAACAACAATTTATTATACTATTACCTTTAACTTTTCTGGTCTTTGTTGACCTTTAGATTTCAAGAGAAGACATCCTTTCTTATTGTGACCCTCCCTCTGACAGAAGCTGCACTTAACTGTCATTTGTTGCCTCTTCATTGTATTTTCCTTGGTCACAACCCTAGGCTTACCCCTTGGCCTCTTTCTCCCACTAGAAAGAACCTCATCAGGTTCCATTCTCCTAGCCTTTCCTGGCCTTCCTGCTGATCTTCCAACATTTGGTGGCTCAGGTGGAGGATAAGCAGTTGCTGCCCATTCTTTCCTTCCATTAATAGGCATGATTGCAGGCTCATACACCTTCTTGTATGTCTCTGTCTTGTAGCAAGGGTTTACAAAATCTTCAATGCTCCAGCCTTGCAGATTAATTGCACTCAATGCATGAACACAAGGGATTCCAGACAACTCCCATTTTCTGCACCCACAGCTCTGTGCCCTTAAATCCACCTTAAACTGATCACCATTGACACAATCAACTTGAAAATTATACTCATCAGATTTGAGGGGGATGCATTCAACCAAATTATCAATATGAGCATCTATGATTTCTTGTATCTTGGGACACAATGAAAAGTTCCATTTTTTTGCACATCTATCACTCAAGCATTGACAGAATTGGTTGTTCCCTGGCCTCAACGATATTGCTGTTGAATGTCTCACAAGCATTGTTAAGAAGTATGTCACACTTAGGAAGTACACTAAAGTGTGACCTACTCCACTCTTGTGGTGGTTTTTTAGACAACCAACTCCAAGCATCTTCACACAATTGTCTAACTGCACCCATTTTCCTGTGGAACTCATTCACTGTAGTGGCTGTTGCACACCTCCAAACAGCATTCTTAAATGCTATCCCCTAAATCCAGCATCTCTGAAATTTCCCATCAAATGTCTAACACAGAACCTGTGATCACAATTTGGAAAAATAGCTTGTGCAGCCTGTATCAATCCTTTTTGCTTATCTGAAATGATGGTCCATTCATGCTGATTGACAATCTCCAAATCATTTTTCAAAAGAATAAAAAACCACTCCCAATTGTCAAAATTTTCAACACTAACAACAGCATAAGCCAATGGGAAAAGTGCATTGTTGGGGTCAACCCCAACAGCAGTAAGCAAAATCCCCTTATTAGGACTTTTCAGATGGCAACCATCCACACCAAACACTTTCCTACAACCTGCTTTATATCCCAACTTCAATGCATTCAAGCAAATATATAATCTATTAAACACACTCTTCCCAGTTTCAGAAATTGTATCCAAAACAATTGTACTACCAGGATTTGTTCTTCTAATCTCCTCACAATAATCCCACAACAATGCATACTGCTCTTTAGGTTCACCTTTTTTATCAGCAATGGCATGCATTTTGGTTCTGTATGCTTGTTGTTTAGAAATGTGAACCCTAAGCTCTCTTGCTGCTTGATTTCTAAATCCCTTAACAGCCCTCTGAGGATCATCTTGAAAAACAGCAGCATATTTCCCAGCCAACCAAGTGGATTTCAAATTTTTTACCTTTTCAGTCACTGCACAAGTGTGCCTAGGGTTATGCTTGCTAACCTGAAAGGTCTGCTCATTTTTCACCCTAACTGCATTAATCTTCCAAGGACAGTTACTATCACCACACTTAGCTCTAAGGTACTGTTTCACATTTTTGCTAATTACCACAGTTCTTTTTGCCTTAATGGCACTTGAATGTATAGCTGTCCTAAGCTCAGATTTTGTGGCAAACATCATACCTATCTTGAAGTTTGGTTCATACAAGTCATTAGGATTAAACACATGATACTTATAACTCACTTTGTCCTCATCAGAGATATCTTCACTATTTAACTCCTCTTGGTATACCACATCTTCATCCCCTTCACTTTCATATTGATTTTCAGTTTCATTTTCATTTTCAGGTTCATTTTCACTCTGACCAACATCATTATCAACATTCTCATCAAACAATTGATCATCTACTTTTTCATCCCCCATATCATACTCCCAATCATAAAGTTCATCACTGGATTCATCACTTTCAAGACACTCTCCCTTACTACCCTGACCCTCATCTTCATCACAGAAGTCTCCTTTACTACCCTCACCCAAGCTCTCAGTACTATCTCCCTCATCCCCCTCACCAAAGCTCACAGCACCACTATCTCCATTAACCCCCTCACCCAAGCTCACAGCACCACCATCTCCCTTAACCCCCTCACCCAAGCTCACAGCACCACCATCTCCCTTACTTCCCTCACTCAGGTCATCCTCAACCTCACATTTATCACCCACTTCCTGTTCCTTTTGCATTTCTCTCATCTCATCAACATACAAGTTTACTTCTCTAAACTTTCTATTATCTTCCCAAATTTTTCCTAAATCAGGCTGAGAGCTTACTAACACAAACATATGTCTCTTATTTTGATACAGTCTGAAAGGTTTTTTTTTACACCTTTTCCTTCAGCAAGCTTTCTGAAATCATCAAGACATACCTTTGTACGGTCAACAAAATTAAAAATAATTGAAGAACCTCCTAGATATGCTGCATAGTCGTGACCTTGGTCAAATTCACCTCCATAATGTAGACCAAATGTGAAAAACTCACTTTCGATTCCTACAAACCAAAAAGCAATTTTTGTTGATTAGCAACATAAATGTAAACCTTAATTTCAGAAAGTACAATAAAGAAAATACAATAAACAAAGTTTAAAAGAAATTATAAACCTATTTTCGAAAATTATAAACCCTAATTTTTAAAAACCCAAATTTCAACAATTATACTAACCATATCTAGGAGGGGGAAGGTAATCAAGCTCTTTTCGCCGCAATTTCATCTCGCAGTTTGGGACTTTAACTCCTAGAGCAACTTTCTCGATCAAACTGAGATTGTCATCAAACTGAGATGTTTTCTCCATCGCCGATTTCGATTGCTGCTTCACTGGTTGAGACTGAGAGGTCTCCATCGCCGATTTCGCCGATTTCGATTGTTGTTTCAGTGGTTGAGACGTCTCCGATTTCGATATAGATTTTTTCCTCACCATTTCAAGCAATTTCGATTTTTGTGGAATTTCAGGAGTTGAGATTTGAAGATTTTCTTGAGTGGAAATTGAGAAATTGCAATCGATTCAATTGAGAGTAGAGAGGTCCTTCGCCAGATTTGAAGATTGTGGAATACAGTTTTACGGTTTTGAGAAATTGGGATTGATTTGTCGATTAAGTTGCACATTTGGGAGGGTATATCTGATTCATTTCGCGCCTTCTCGTATCCTGCCACGTAAAACCACAATCATGCCACATCGGATAAAAAAATGCCACGTCAAAATTTAATCCCGCTGCCGGATAAAATAGGACCATAAATGATTAAATTGACAAGTTATAGGACCTAAATTGAAAATGGTCAATATAGGGGTGGTTTTTTGGACTGTGGCCAAGTTATAGGACCAAAAATGAAATTTTGCCAAACCCTAGCAGTGAAAACTGGAGATAATGGCGATTGCCACGCTTCTCTAGGTTTTTCATTCTTATGAACTTTGTACTCACAATAAATAATGAAATCAAATGAATTAAAAAATGAAGAAATATTTTAGTATAAAAACAAATTTGAATATTAATAATAATCTATCCAGTAGGAATTGAACCTAGCCAATTATGATAATATAAAAAAATAAATTTGAATATAAATAATAATCTATATCTATATAAAAAAGTTTGATTATTTTTTAAATAGTAACTATCTCTTTAAAAAAAATTATTTACTATTTTAAAAAATTAATTTAACAATTTATGATATATATCAAATGATCGCTTATAGAAATTAATTGGCTTCCCTCTTAATGTATTTGAATAAAAGACAAAGGAGCCGAATGCAAAAGATTCTATTGTAGATATTTTGGATAAATAACTATATCTTTATACATAGAAGATTTCAAATAGAAAATCAAATGACAACGTTTTAATTATTGGCTTTAGACATAGAAGATTTAAAATAGAAATTTCATATGCTACCGTTTTTATTCTTGTCTTGGATCTACAATTGAACCAATGGATTTATCCAACTCAAGTGAAGTATCAAAATCTTTCAAAATTGAATTAAAAAAAAAAAAATCTACTTGGCTCATATCTTGTTTGAGGAAAAAAAAATTGAAATTAAAATTGAAAAAAGAAAAAAAAAATTGCACTACTAATGCATATAATGAACTAAAGTTGATGTCAATAGTAAAAGTCATAGAGCAATGGACTTATACAGCCCGAACAACACAGACTCCGCATGAATCATACACTGCTCTTGTGCTCCGGTCTGTGAGTGAACTCAAAGTCTATGTGGACAAAAGCCCTCTCAACCTCAGGAAGCTGCTCTAGCTTCTCTTGTAGTGTCTCGCCAATATTATGGGCCTGGCTCAACAGCATGTCCTGTGGCAAAACAATGTCCACCTCCACAAAGTAATGAGACCCAAAAGTGTAGGCCCGAACAGTGTCAATGTGCTGTATCTCTTTATGATGGTTCCATATTAGGTATGTCAGTTTTGCGAGGAAGTCTGGTGGAGCCGTTCGACCAATCAGGGACCATACGTTCTCGACCACTGTCTTAGCCCAAGTGTTGATTGTGTATATGGCTATCTGCAAACAAGAGCAGTGAATACGAATAAGATATCTTGATTTTATGGGAATGAAAAATCTTGGCTATAAAGGACTCCAATTGAATTTGAATTTTTAGATGCTATTCTTTAGAGTTGAGATTTTCCTCTGGCTGATGATTTTTTTTCTTTAAAGGAAGAAAATAAATCCAGTTATGCATCTCTCTGTGGGTGTAATGATTATCTTATTGGTTAGTGTATTACTAATTTACTATGGCTTCAAAGCTCGATAATCCAGACTCGGTTAGCAGCCAATAATGTCATAAATATAAATATAATAGATAAATTGCAAAAGAAGTTGTCTTGTATTTATGGCGCACACACACTCACACACAAAAAAACCGTGCACGAAAAAAAAAATAGAAAGTGTGACAACTTACAAGTATGGCGCCAGTAGGATCAATCCACCAGAAGAACCGAACGGCTAAAACAGCAGTGGCAAGTCCGACCGAGTTGGTGATGACGTCAAAGAAATGGTCTTGAGCATAAGCTCTCACTATTTCATTCTTAAATCTGCGGCAGTAAAGCATGAGGAGAAACTTGATCACAGTTACAGACACCATGATTCCAATCATCCACATTTCCTGATTATGGTCCATCTCAGGGCCAGACTGCAGAAAAAGGAAAGGAAAAAAGAAGAAGTATGAATTTCAAAAGCTTCTCTAGCAACAGTAGGAACAACTGCATTTGTTTGACTTCAAGTACCTTTGCAAGAAGTTGGCGAACTGACTCCAATATAATTTGCAGTCCCAGAGTGGCCATGACAGATGCGAAAACAATAATCCCCTGTGAGGAATGTTCTGAGTTAGTTACGTAAAAAGGGCCCCCTTCTGAAGAATAACGCATTGAAAAAATTTTACATCAAAAGTGAAAGTAAGATTCTTATAGTAGGTCTAATCCCACATGTCAACACAAGATAACTGCACAAACTGCCCAATAGAGGTCAAAGTCATCCAATACACATAAAATTTATGTTTCTAATTTCCTGCAATAAGTCAACCTAAAAGTCAGGTTTGATGAAAGGATAAAAGACAGTTGACAATACGTATAAACAAATGTCAGAGAAGATGCTGGCACACTGCAGGAACAAAAAGCAGTGGCAATTTGTCTATTTCGTTACTAAATGGTATGTATCCTAATTTGGATCACCAAGTGAATCTTAAATTAAACAAAACTTATCTGCAAGAGATATACTGTAGGAAAACCTTACCACGGGTTGCATCCTTTTCTTTCCAATTGGGTAATGATAATGGTTTGGGTTTCTCATTGCATTGGAAGTAAACCACAGGATCAGACCAGATAATAAGTCCAGGAAAGAATCCATAGTTGATGCAATGACAGCCAAAGATCTGCTCGCAACTGACGCATATACTTTTGCAATAAAAAGGAAAAGATTGCATACATTCGAAATATGAACGGCCATCCTTTCACTCTTGGCAAGCTGTTTCAGTTCGTCCTGACATAAATTTAAGCAAATAAATAAATGAAACAGTAACTTTATTAGGTATTTCTCCATTGTAGTTATCAAAAAAGAATCATGAGAAAAAGTGTAGTATCCTCCACGCCAGCCTGGTCAGTCTATAAAACATGTTTTATTTTGTTCACAACTAAATTCTACGAGTTCATCCCGAAAAAATATTATCTTATTTTTTTTTCACAGAAAATGATTGGGGTGTACTCATAAATATTTTGTTCCCAAAAATTGAATAAGTGCTTCAAAGATGTAAGAGAGTTGATGACCATTGACCAAAGAGGCACAAAATTAAACATACATGCACTTCAGTAATCACACGTCACACTCACAAATAACACTCCTATGCATGGTGCCCATAGTAACTTCAATTGCTCACTAATGAAAATAAGTAAACAACCAACCTCTGTCAGTGCATCTGGCAAACAACCAGATTCATGAATGGCCTCCATCTCATTAAATCCTTCCAGAAGCCTCTCTTGCTTTTTGTAGTACTCGGAAACTTTTCGCTGTTTTCCTAAGGACATCGTATTTCAAGATCCCAGGATGTGTAAGACGGTAAGGAAAAATGCATTCAACTTAGTAGTGTAACAAGATTAAGATACAAGCCAGACAAGTAGAACTGACCACCCATACAAACAAATAAGGGAGCATGTTACATCTTGTTAACACAAAATAATTAGCCCATGGAAAGTGGAATAGTAAATAGATAGTGACAATCTTTCAGCTGCCAAGAATAACCACGAAACTTGCTCGATTCAGCTGGTCAATGAAATACATCATATGGTATTGTCATACAAAGAAATCAACATATTAGCTAATTCATAAAACCAATAAGCATTGTCTTAATTGATAGAATTATCATCTTTCTTAATATATTGATTCTAGTGTGTCAATAAACACACACACACACACTACACAAACAATAAAAACATAAAACTTACATATATATGTATATATGTGTGTATACTATAATTTCCAAATTATTCCTTTATCCGGCATCATCAGCACATGCATCTTCCGAAAATTTCACACTAACAGAAAATTCTTCAACAAAAAACAATAAAAAGAAAAAGTGGTTGATACGGAAAAGGACCTCCTTACTTGATACTTTAAAGTTCTCAGTTCTTTTTCATAGACCTTTATTGATTATGTTATAAACTATTATCCAAAGAACTGTAAAGGAAAATCTGAGACATTAGATTAGGGTAGCGTTTTGCTCGTCTCATTTAAGTATCAATTAGTAGGTAACCCTACATTTTGTTGCCTGTGTACCAGGGATAAATTAAGTTGAAAAATCGGAAGTATAATACGAAATACATAAAAAAAAAAAAAAAGTACTGAACAAATTTGGAATTACAGATTCTTGAAGAAAAGTAAAAAAGGAAAAGAGAGCATCGCACAGAATTCTCTCCCTGTTCTTTATTCCCATGAATCAACCCCGTGTCTCAGTGTAAAGGGAGAAAAGGGAGAAGAATATACTTTCTACACCAAAATTGAACATAGCTAAGACAAATTGAACACGATGCCAGTACAATTTGAAGCAATTCATATCAAAATATACCCAGTCATTCATCACGTACACTTACACACAAATACGCACACGCATAACGACGCTACGAATAAGATGCTCGCTTACTTTTGTTTCGCAGGAGCCGCCGGACGCTGAAAGCCTGATGACGATGATCGGCATCGCGCTCCGGCAATCGGAACTCGTTAATGTTGAGCCTCCAAGACGACTCCCCGTCCTCGATATCCCCCGCGCCTCGGCCGAGCAACTCCCGGCGGCTATCTCTGGCGCAGCCGCCACTGCCGCCCTCCATGGCTAAGAGTTTATTTTTTTTTTGGGGAAATTAAATAGAGAAAAAGGAAAAAATAAAGAGAAAGAAAAAGGCAATGCGGACTATGTGGGGGGTTTGAAGAGTTTTAAAAGAAACAAACCGAGAATGCCGAAATGCGTGTATCCTATACACCCTTGATATCAGCAAGGGTGGTTGGAGGAGGAACCACTGAATGGAATCTAGAAGCCACGTGTGGCAAAATAATTGGCTTCTCTTCAGGATTTTATATTTCACCTGTTATTAGGAATTGTGGGGTATTAGGATATTTTCTAAAAATAATTTTTTTTTTGGCTAATTTACTAGATTTAATACTTAAACAAATAAAATTAGACGAAAATTCATATCCAGATTTCTTAATTGTGGATCTTCAGTAGTTATGAAAAAATTGATGTTAAACAACAAAACTGTATTAATTATAATTAACAGTAGGAAATTAACAAATACATTTACGCAAATTTGCTCACTTATTTATTTTATCTCTGTTTATTTTTTATTTGTAATTCTACTAATAAAATTACAAAATAAAAGATAATTATTTAAATATTTTTTTTTACTAAAATACTAATTAACTCGCTTAAATCCAACTACTCGTCATCAATATTTTGTTTTTTTTATCATATTAACTTTAATAATTACATTTTTATCATATATTTATTCACACATCAAATCTATTCTATTTTTGAAAAATAATTATTTCCTGTATTACATCTCTGCTTATTTTGGTGCACGACACAAATTTTACAAAAAAAAAATGTATGTAATATTGTAAGATTTCAAATTGTAATATATATATATATATACACACAGAAATAGAGATAAAAAAGTATTTATCGAAAAATTAGATAGATTTAAGACTACATATGAGTATTAGATAATACTGTAATGAATGAGATTGATTTAATATAAACTAATTAAATATTGATAGTTATATATATGTAAGTGAACAATAATAATTGCCCCCTAATTCTATCGATATAAAGAAGAAATCATGTAACGAAGGGGATTCTTATTTGTATAACAATTATTACTTTTTTTAGTTGTATGAGTAAAACTGTAGAGAAAAAATGAGATAAAATAAATAATATAATTTTAGAAAAATAGTAAATTTCAAATTTAAATAAAACAAATGTTAACTCAACAGACAAAAAAGACGATACCTAACCCAAGCTTGGAAGTTGGAACAAGTGGTGTGCAGCATATTCAGAAAATGGAACTATGACATCGATTTTGTTATAGATACATAGTATAATTATTGAGTTAGTACAGTATCACACGTGTCTCCAGCTACATACACTACTACAAGTAATAATAAATAACACACTTTCGGGTCCGTAGAGCTTCGAATCCACAAAATTCTGGGGACCCCAAATACTCCAATAACTGAAAGAATATTGAACAACACATCGCTTTTAGCTTTCTATCATTTTCCAACTTTTTGGCACATTTTGGGTAAAGATTGAGACCCATTTTGCTATTTATTGTGACCACTTGAAAAGCAAGAAAATAGTATTTCAATTGTAGCATTACAACACCAATATATTTGTTATGCAAATTGTCCCAAGATTCATTTTGAATTACAATATGCCAATTCAAATCAGCTCATGGTCTTCGATGACCTGCAAAATGGCATGAGGGGTCTCGGGGAAAAAGGCTCTGATGCTCAAGTCAATTCGTGTCCAATGATAGAAGCAGTTATATATGAATCTACGTGTATGTGTATTGTGTAAAATAAAAATTTGGATACTCTTTTATAGTTAAAGTTACTTGTTAGTTAAAAGACTTTTGATATGGTAAGAAGTTCTCTCATATATTTCTTCTTAACTAACTAAATCTTCCCATATCTCTAGTATCCATGAGGATATACACTTCGCATATATAAGAGATTTCGTTTGTGTCAGGTGTACGATTTCTAGGTTCCAGATTAGACGCGACCTGAGCACTCTTGCCTAACCCTAAAACTGAAGTACTTCAAGGTCGTCATCCGACCTGATGGTCTCGAGGTTGTCATTCGACCTCGGTTTCAAGGTCATCATCCGTCCTGAGGATTATGAGGTCATCATTCGTCTTGAGAATTATGAGGTCACCATACAACCTGTGTACACCGAGGTTGGCTTCTTGACTTCTTGCCTTGTGAGACTACTCCCTTACTCAGAGGTCGGGGGGTCCATTTATGCTCAGGCCTCGTACCGTTTGATCACCTTACATGTGAGTCATGTGATCGACTCCTTATTAACAAGTCTATTGAGCTCTAAAACCGTCCAATGTCACACTAATGCCTCAGTCTATCCAAGCCCTTGAGACCAACCAGTCTGTCCGAGCTAAAGACAAACCATGCCGACCTGACACTCCTAGCGGGTTAACTGACATGTTCTGTATGCTATATCAATATTCGAGTATGTTTATTAAGATTAATATGAAGATTGTGTTTGGAAAACACTATGAGTTAGTTTATAAGTTTTTTTTTTTTTTTTTTTGTTTAGCTTATAACCTTAATTTATTCAAATAAGTTTGATTTGGTATGACCGAGTTTGTCATAAGTTTCCTTGAGTAGTTTTTCAAATAGAAATTTCTATTTTAGCTGACTTATCTTCTAATTTTTTCAATTTTATAATATCATGTAACTTTTCAATTATAAACAAAAAATATCATCTATAAACTTGAATTTCACTTATAAGCTATCAACTAACTTATCAGCGATCAATTAGCTTGTCAACTAGGTTTACCAAACATAGTCTAAAACATCTATGAAAAAAGTTATTCCTACCAAACGAAGCTTATAATCTAGCTTATTTGCTACCAAGCATAGCCGTAGTTTCTTTTTTTTTTTCTTTCTTTCTTTTTACCTTTTTTCGTTTTTCAGAATCCTAAATATTCGATTATTCTAACGATTTTTGTTTATTTTATCAATATTTTTGAGTATTTATAATCGCAATGAATGAGAAAGAAAGTTTAGCCTTGTATTAAAAGTTGTTTCCCCAATTGTAAAACACGGATAAATAAGATAGGATAATTACCAATGTTCTGAAAACTGGACCAGATCGGCTGGTTCGACCGGGAACTGGCCAGCTCACCGGTCCGAGTTGAGCTGTGGAACCGTGAATGATAAATTCGACCGGGAACTAGCCAGCTGACCGGTCCGGGTTGAGCTGTGGAACCGTGAATGGCTTAAACCGATCATGTGAATGATAAATTCGACCGGGAACTAGCCAGCTCACCGGTCCGGGTTGAGCTGTGGAACCGTGAATGGCTTAAACCGATCATGAACCGCCTAAACCCTGTTAAAAACCGATAAATTCGACCGGGAACTAGCCAGCTCACCGGTCCGGGTTGAGCTGTGGAACCGTGAATGGCTTAAACCGATCATGAACCGCCTAAACCTGTTAAAAATAGGTAATATCGATACCAATTTGGGCGGCCCAACGGCTGGCTTGGAATGGTTGCTTGAATGCTTGCGGTAGCAAAAGCTATCAATTAAATAGCATTGTCTTCTTCTTTCTTTTTCCAATGTGGGATATCTACTAACTAGTCTAGCTTAGAATTTGTTCCTTTTGTCCTTTTGTCTTTGTATTGGGCTTGGGAGTTGGGCCTATAAATTACTAAACTCACCTATCTTTGTTTTTTAATTTGTACTTGGGCATCTAAATGTAGTTTGAAGTGCAAAATTGTTCTAAACCAAATGCCCAATGATTGAAAAAAAATAAAAATTCGCGATTTATATTGCAACTTTTTTTAGATTGCATTTTAATTTGTTCATAATATTTTAATATATTTTAGATTGTAGTTTTTTTGTTAAAAATTATGGGACATGTGATAAGGGATTTACTCCAATTTCAATGAATGTTTTGCTTTCAAATTCTTATTTAAAAATTAAAATAAAAACATATTCTTTATTTTTTTAACTTCCGGTTGAGTGACTTCACTTCGCTTCGAAAAGTTTGTAGGGTTAGAAGTTTTTCATTTCTTTCTAGTCCTAAGGTCAATTACATCGAGCCTGAATATAAATTAAAATATAAGAAAATAAACTAAAATAAGTTACCAACATTATTCAATATTGTCGGTTGTATCTATTATTGAACTATACACTATAAAATTAATGACAAAAATATATATAATTATATATTATACATATAAAATAAATATAAAATTATATATTAATTAGACCGGTTCGACCACTGGTCCGACCAGTGAACCATTGAACCGATAGTTTCGCCGGTTCGATGACCGGTTCGGTTTTCAGAACATTGATAATTACTCAAATTGCAAGACTATGGTACAAAGGAATAGTCCATGCCCATGTGCTATTAATGTAAATGTATGTTCTTGATTTATAGCTAATTCTGCCCATATTGCTTGTACCAGTGATTTATTTTGCTTACCCTGTTTTTCACGTCAAATTTGTATAATTCTCAATTTATAGCTAATTCTGCCCATATCTTCTTTCAACATATTGATGTCTCTTACAGAACATAAGCTTAATTTCTATTGTAACATTGTCAAAGGAACTGTAAAATGATATCCAAACATCACCAAATTCAAACTGTGTTCCCATTCAGTTTGCGAGTTGAAATAAACACGGCCAAATCTTCTACAACACAAAATCTTTATGGTATAACATCACTCAATCATAACTTCTTATATAGCTTATGTTGTGAACATCCACGATGGCACATTTGACATGGTAGCTCATCCTCAAAATACATCAAAGCCAATACATGTTTTTTTCTACATGAGTTCTCATACATCGATAGTATTACATTATTTTGACACCATTAAATGTCTTCCATGTCACAAGAGAAGAATATTCTAATAGTTTTGTATTTTGACACCAGCAACTAATAATTTTGTATCTACTCTTTTTGCCCAACAAAAACAAAATTGATGGCTATTTGTTTACTTAGTAGCTGCCACCAAAGCCATATGCTCGATCAGGTCCAACACACGGTTACTGCAACAGGAACAAGTAAATGCAATGCACGAGAGAGAGAGAGAGAGAGAGAGAGAGAGAGAGAGTACCTGTAACCCCACTCGTTGTCATACCAAGAGACGAGCTTCATGAAAGACTTGCTAAGACCTATTCCAGCCTTCGCATCAAATATGCTTGACCTATAAACATCCCAAAAGAGTAGAAGTGATTCACATCTCCAAGTTAATGTGACATGAAAACAATAACCCTGCTACAGTTTACGTTTAGATAAATACAGCAAAGTTCCAACCACAAAAATAACAATAATAATACAATGAAAGAAAATAGAATTGGTGCCAGCCAACAAAAGATCACCAATAGTTATGCACAAACCACAACAAAATAAGCTAATCAGTTACATCAATAATTACTTACAACCATGGAGATTTACGTATCTAATTATAACTATGCATTTCAAAAAAATTTGGTACATTTATTGAAGAATTGAAGAGCATAGAAATATTATATACCTGGAGTCGCCAATAAAATCATTGGAGACCACGTCTTCATCCGTGTACCCAAGAACGCCTTTCAAAGGGCCCTCTGCTGCATACCTAATAAATAACCCACAATTTTCATGAATTACCATTCTGACAAACAATGGCATATGAGTGAGCATTGCATACTTTAGAACGCCGAAATTAGGCTTTACATACTTGATGGCTGCTTTCACGTCCTCGTAAGAAGCACTCTTGTCGAGCCGACAGGTTAAGTCTACAACAGACACATTAGGAGTTGGAACACGGAAAGCCATTCCAGTGAGCTTCCCATTGAGTTCTGGAAGAACTTTCCCAACGGCCTAATACATTTCCGATATTCAGATAAATGTGAAAAGAGATGGGCACAAACTGTAAGGAAAAAATGTTCTGATATTCAATCACCGAATAATAATAATACCTTAGCGGCACCAGTAGAACTAGGGATGATGTTTTGTCCTGCTCCACGGCCACCTCTCCAGTCCTTCCTTGAAGGACCATCAACTGTCTTCTGTGTGGCTGGACATCAACAAGAGTGTCAAGAATAACATCCAACGTTATGCGTAAAATAATAACCAGCAAGAAATGTGAAAAGTACCAAAAAATCCAGGGACAAAACTGCTGGAAAAACACATACCTGTAGTTGCATGGACAGTTGTCATTAGACCCTCTAAAATGCCAAACTCTTCATGCACAACCTGTGAAGTACAATATTGCCAAAAAAGGGGGAAAAAAATAACACAAGAAATGAGGATTGTGAAGGCAGCGTAAATATAATATTAAGAATCTGAAATTGCACATTAAAACAAAATGGTTGGATTCATAACTGATTCTTGTCCACTAAACAATACAATGAAAACAAAATAAAACTCAGGCTAGCGTATAATAAAACTCAGGTATAAGTACCAACCTTAGCCAAAGGAGCAAGACAATTGGTGGTACAGCTAGCATTGGAAACGACATCCATGCTGGGCTTGTAAGTGTTCTCATTCACTCCAACTACAAACATAGGTGCATCGGCTGATGGAGCTGAGATTACGACCTTCTTAGCACCACCCTGCATAATAGCCCTTTATTTAAAAATACTATGAAATGGTTAAATATCATGTTTGCAAACTAACAATGGTTTCTAACCTTTTTGTGTGATGATGCTTTCTCAACAGTGGTAAAGAGTCCAGATGACTCGACAACGTAATCAGCCCCGTAATCACCCCAAGGGATCTCAGCTGGATCCCTGAATATTGACATATTTTAGCATGAATAAAAGAGATCATACCTTTATATGCAAATAGCATGACCAGTTGAAAGCACTTATTGATTCCAAACTGTGGAATTACCTTTTGCTACTAACTTTGATCTGCTTTTCGTTGATTTCCAGAGTAGACTCATCAACAACTTGGATAGTTCCCTTGTATGGTCCATGAGTTGAATCATATTTTAACATGTACGCCTGAAAGGATTTACAGATACAAATCAGAATCATAACAGTAAGTCAATTTAGCTAACGAGGAGTGAGCACAAATATATGTATCACACAGAACGCCAAACTTGGTATTTGTGATAACATAAGCCAAAAAAGTGTTAACTGAATATAAATACAAAAAATAGCCACTTCCAAGTTGTCCTTGCAAATTTTTTGTTCTCTTTTTACTGCATAACAAAGTTTTTGTAACAAACCTTTTCAGTCATTTGTAATTAAGCAATCATCTGAAAGAAGGCTGCAGTATCATATATTTGTCACAATGAATTTTTATCCTTGAAGAAAATATTACACTTTTTTACTTGTTTACCTAAACTTTATGACGGGAATAGCTGGCAATAAAACCAAATGTGCATCAACAACAACAACAACAACAACAACATACCCAGTATATTCCCAACAGGTTTGGGGTATGGGGGATCAGTTGTACGCAGACCTTACCCTTGTAATTATACAAGGAGGCTGTTTCCGTAGCGACCCAAGGTGCATTGCGCCGTTTGATATATATTTTTTTTTTCTAGAAGCTTCACTAAGAAGAACACTAGAATTTAATTGAGTCATTTTGATCTAGTCCATTATTAGCATTATGCTAGGAGAATTGTCAACAATGACTCTTCCAGCTCCATTTGCAATGGACAAAAACCAAGCATATGACACTATTAATTATGTGCATATGACACTATTAATTATGTTGCAGTGTTATACTATAATCTACATGGACGAGCAAAAGGTAGACTGACCATGTACTTTGCATCAATAAAAGGATCATTTACTGCCACCACATCAATATCATCTCTGAAAGTTGCTATCCGCAAAACTAGTCTCCCAATGCGTCCAAAACCTACAGAGTTAAAGTTTGTTAATATGGGCCCTTAGACCTTTCAGAGCAGACATAACGAGTATCGTAGTACAGAGATGATCATGGAAATTATGGCACACAGAACTACACCTCACAGTTTCCCAAGTACTGGAAGTGGAATGATAGCAAATTCAAACTAAGAGAGTCAAATGCCAATTTTGAACATTGAAATTTCCTACTGTAGGAAAAGAAAAAAATGAGTCGTGAAAGTTTTGAAAAACATGATATGTAATTTAACATACCATTGATGCCAATCTTTGTTTTCCCACTTCTGTGTGATTCTGTCAGGAGAAAAGAAATGATACAGCTACGTCAGACACTTAAACCAGACATTAACCAAAAATCCAGGAAACGAATATGCAAGTATCAACTGCTTACTGGGAACTGCTGGAGGTACTTCTGTCGCTGTTGCTTTGATAGGCTGAATACTGCAAACAGAACACTTCCTATACAACCTAATTCAGTATGTTTGAAAAAGCATGTATTATCAGTACATTTTAATAAAGAAGAATGAGCATTCACTCAACTGTAGCAAAGATGAATCTCCAGGGGCATTAATCCGGAAGATGCTAGAGCTATACTGGAATTTCAAAGCATTTCCAATCTGGTTAACACCACCACATGATACCTAAGGCAGATTACACAACTGTGCATTACAGAACAGAAAGAGAACTGAATTCCCATATGCATAAAATATAAACACAGGAAACAAGATTGAATAAGCAGGATTTTGACAAAATCCCTCGCCATGACTAGAGCAATATAACCACTCAAGAAAGAAACCGATTGATTAATTAACAGTAACAAAAAAAAAAAAAGATCAACACCTTCTAAACTAGGTATTTATTCAATTCATTCCGCAATAAGATGGAGAAGTCTAAGGCATTTGGCTTTTTTATTTTTTAATGTAAATGAAACTGAAATAGAACAAATTAGCAAGAAAAAAGATCAACCAAAGGTTTTCTAAAGCATGTACCGGTTATCTTTTAGGGAACATCCAATTCATTCATAGCTGGTATGACCAATTCACAAACCAAATCAGACCACTTTTCATTTCCAATTACTTTCCTTATTGAACATAATCACAGGCAAACACTTTTAACTCCAAAAACGCATCCGAGCAAACATTCACAGAGGAAATTAGCTATAACGTCCATCAACAAAATACGAAAACAAACTCTAGATTCGCTACATAGCCGAAGATTAAATTGATAATAAATTAAAAAAAAAAAGTCGAACCAAATTGAAAAGCAGCTGATCTGAGATCAATCCTTGGAGGAACATCACAAACAAAACCACCACGCACCTTACATCGCTCCGACGGTCGGAAAGCGTCGCAATCGAGAACAGGCGACTGCGCCGATCTAACGAGCGACGAAGTGAACGCCATTTTCTGAACAGAGGAAACTAAAACTCTCGCGGACCTTTTTTCGTGTTCAATTATGATACATAGCACTGAGAAGGGAGAGGAGGTATTTAAACCCCAGAGGTGGAAAAGAGGTTTTTGGCCTTTGAGACTAAGAGCTGGCCAACTTTCTAAGACGGTATTTAAATACGAAAAGAAACCAACGGAGGCGGAAATTATTATCAAGGTTGGCAGCTTGTTTTTGTTGGATGGTTTTTTTATTTTTTTATTTTTATTTTTTTAAATACAGAAATCTATCTATATATAAAAAGGTTGTTGGTTAAATCCTTTTTGGAAACTTTTGACCAAATAAATAATACCTTTGACATTTTATTTATAGAAAGCTTGAAAACCATAATGGTGTAGTTTTTTTTTTAATAGAAAATCACAGTTTGAATTCAAAATTCATGGTGTAGAGATAATATTGGAACAATAATCTGTGGATAACTCATGATGGAATCTGTGGATAACTAACTACTAATCTAAATTTTTTTTGATAAATCTTCACCGAACACTTATTTGATAAATTTGTGGATAACTAAACTATTAATCTAAAAAGATTTTGAAATAACTAAGCTTATGTATTAATATCGCAACCCAAGGAAAAAAAAAAGCATAAGTGAGCCCATTTATTTTTTTATACTAAACTAAAGGGATATTATCAATTATAATTTTTGTTTAATTTGATGGATAATATCAAATCATTCCAAATTTTAATAATGTACGCGAATATCATTTCAAATATTTAGAATATATCATTCTAAAGCTCCAATCATCTAATATCGAGATATTTTTTTTCACCAATTAAATTAACACTCAATTTGCCTATAAAAATAACATACACACTCTGAGTTGTTATTGTATTCCCACTCATCAAAAAATCAAGCAAAACATAAAGAACAAATAGATATTCTATATTGATAAGAAATCATGAGGACTCATCAAGCAAAACATCATGAAAGCTCTACGCAATCCAACTCTTTTAAAGGATAAATGTATCTTTTCGAACAAAAAGATATTAAAAAATGATATTTTTGTTATTATGAGGTATTAAATTTTATGGGTATGAAAGTCGAATTTTATTCTCAAATTTTAGTATATTTCTATAATAACTTGCCATAAAATATTAATGATAATTTGAGAAAATAATATGTATTCCTCTTGAAAATCATAAACATCTTTGAACAAACATTGGTTAATAAAATTTAAAAATTAAGCGACAACAACTCTAAAAAATTGTGAGATAATATGTATATAAGGGAATTTATATATAAGAAAATATATATATATATAAGAAAATTTATCGTATAGTTCAAATTTGGGTTTCAAATTTAAAAGTCAAATAAATAATTAATCATAACTTACGTGTCAATATTAACTTAGGCATAAATGAAGTAGTCAATTAATTATAGTATAATAAATTACTCAACAACTTAAATTTTTTTATTTTGATAGTTTATACAAAATTAAATTCATTTTAATTAATGAACACTATAAGTTTTATAATTGTACTATTCACATAGATTTTTAAATATATGATAAAATTTTACGGAAAGAATTATTTTATGGAATCACATTGTAGTCCAATCGAATTTTTGAATAAATATTTTAAAATGACACTTATTTTGAAATAAATATAATGTAATTTATTATCAGTTACGTGCACCATACAAGTTGTATACTAATTAAATTGACATGTTTTATGTAATTTTGCACGATATAACTTCATATAACATTTTCAATAAATTAATATAGGTAAATGTATTACATATTGATTCAATATTTTTAATTTATAAATATCATCTAATAATTATTTTTAATTTATAAATACTAATGAATATCTCTTACCCGTGCATCGCACGGGATTCGTACTAGTTATATTAATAACTCAAAAATGTAATGCCACATAACCAACTGATTATATAACACTCTTTCCCAACCTAGATTAGATAAAGAAGAACACGAGGAGCAAACACAGTAACGTTCCTCCTCCAAGCTAACATTGTCAACTATACATAAACAAGCTAACATTGTCAACTATACATAAAACAACAATAAGAAGAAGAGTAACAAGAGAAACAACAATACACAAAATGTTTTTCAAATCCTCAATATCGGCGCAAACAGAAAGCAAAGCAGAAGCGAAAGTCTTGGTGAATGTCTTGGTGAAGATCCTTAATATCCTCAATACTGCTCCTCATCGCACTCTCCTTTTTTCATGCATTTTGTGGTCCAACTTCCGCTCAGTTGTGCTAACGATTAACCCGCGTTTTGGCTATGTCTTGGTGAATCCTAGTCGTCCCTTTACTGTGAGTGTTTGCACACTGAATGAGAATAGCGCGCATAAGGCCAAAGTTCCTGTTGAGTCTATTGTTGTTCCTGCCAATTGGGAGGATTTCGTGACTCAAAAAATGGGCGCGTGGGACAGGTTGGCTAAGGAAAGTTCCCTTCAACGAGCTATCTCAAGCACGTGCTCAAATCGATCAAAGGTCGTCGCCATGCTTCTCTTGGGACAGGCCTTTCGACATCCAAGAGCTTGAAAAAGGGGGAGATGAATGATGATGAAGATGATGATGCTATGAAGAGGATTATGAGTAATGATTTGCTACTGCTTTTTATTTACTGTTTTTGTGTGATCCTTGATGGAGTAGTGAGGTCTTTTGTATAAAAAACCTCGTATTATATTTGGTGTTTGGTAGGTTGCCTGCTTTTGATTCGATGGCTACTGGTGACTTGAACGCTTAATCGTTGTTTAGGATTTGGTTTTAATTTTGCAGGGTGTCTACTGGACATTTAGAAGATTTCTTTATTTGGTTATTGATGTTCTAACACTGCAGAAGGAGATGTGTTTTAACCCTTATATTCGAACATGGTTATTTGCTTGCTTGTTGTTTCTTGAACTTGTGTTATAGGTCATCTTCAAGATATGATTTTCGAACTGAATGCCAAAAGGAGAGATTGTAAGATTTTAATTTTGGCAAGAAGTTCCAAAAATAATATCTTGATATTCTAAGCAAGCAAGGAAAATAAAAAGGGAAGATCTGTTCTCTCTCTTCTCTCTGTCATATATTTTAAGTCTTGATACTCTTTTATTAACTAAGGTAAGATTTCTTTTGTATCTAATAGACTTTACTTATATGAAGATGTTATTACCGTAATATTTGTTTTGGTTATGTGTAGGAGATCTCGCATTCAAGGAAAATTGGAAGCTGATCAAGGAACATTGTATGTGAAGAAATCAATTTACACTTATGAAGATCTCGACCATATCTTGAAGTTTTAAAGACTAAAGGAAATCGATTCCAAAATGAAGGAAGATTGAAGACTCCTTACCTTGAGGAGATTGTATATATACCTACACAAAGACTCAATTGAAGGTTGTTGCATTATTGAGGGTTTATTACATTCATAGACTTCATTGAGTGTTTGTGTGATTTTGTTATTGGAGTTTTTATTGTATCCAGTTTTTTAGTGTTCTTACACCATTGAATAACTGCGTTTGATTTTCGTTTTTACACACTTTTCGTACTTATTAATTGAGTACTAGTATAGCTAGGAGGGATTGATAGCTATTGTGAAGTCTACGTTCGTGGCCAATGGATTAGTTAATAGAGTCGGGTATAACGTTAGCTAGACTAAAAGGGAGTTCGAGTCTTGTAAGCCTAAGTTGTACTTTGTGCGCGCAAACCAGTCTATTAATGAACGAGCTCTGAGGGGTAATAGGACGCTCCCCAAAGGGTTTTTCAAGTTATTTGCTTCTGTTTTATTTTTGGTGTCCAAACATACTTCGCATACTCTATTTTACTCTCCCTATAAGTTTCAATTCTCTATGGACTGATCTAATGCGTCTTAATCTTGATGTGTCTTGAGTCCTCTTTTCCTTGTCTCTCTTTGAAACAACTGCAACTTCTTTAACCCTTTGTTCCCACCTTTCATTTTCTCTCAATTTGGTACATCCAACGGCAAACTGTCATGAGATTTCTCACTATCCAACATATAATCAAAATCAACCTCATCTTCAGAACTATCAATTAACAATATAACCTTCGCTTTTCACTCAACTTGTATTTTCGCACTCCTACAATTAACGAAACTAGCACACCCAACTTTACGCTTCTTCAAGCCCCAGCTGCATAGAATGCTAGCCTTCATAAAAATATATACATATTTATATTCAACTTCAAGACATTTAGGACATAAAGTAGTGATTTTATGGATCACGCTGGAAATTAAACATAACTGTTATATTCAAGTGAAATGGTTTCTAAAAGAGCCAAAGTTATGCATATATTTTAGGGAAATTTTTACACATACTACATGAAATAAAAAAATTTTCACTTTTACCTTCCTAGAACAATTAATAGAATATATACCTAATCAAGCTATTTTATTTACGTGATTGCCTAAATATCAGTTACCTTTTGTAACGTCCTCTATCCATATCAGTTATCCTTTAGTGGCGTGATTTACTCATTTAATTCCTTAATTCCCGCAACTGGAATTCTTTAATTCACGTTGCTCTCAGGTGGTATATATTGAGTTTATGTTAGTATATATTCAGTATATGTGCGCAACTGAAATTTCTTAATTCACGTAGCTCTCATGTGGTATATATTGAGTTTATGTTAGTATATATTCAGTATATGTGTGCAACTGGAATTCCTTAATTCACGCTGCTGGTATATATTGCGTTTATGTTAGTATATATTCAGTATATGTTGCAATGAAAAAAATATCTTCCATAAAAAATTGTATCTTCCTCTTTTTTTCTTTTATACATAAAAGTATATATATAGTTTAAAAACATATTATAACATATTACTTAATATAAAATCATACATATACACAACACCAACAAAAAAATTCAGTTTATGCTATTTTCAAATAAATTTTATACATAAAAATTAGGTCTCGCGATAAATTTCTTTATCATATACTGAAAATATACCGAGTATAAATCATACATATACAAAAAAAAAATAAAAAATCATCAGTTTATGTTTTGTCAATATAAACCATACATACATATAAGGTAGCCCTTATATTATACAGAACATACACCTTATATATACATAACATATACCCGATTAATTCATGGACCCCACCCACAGTCTCCGATTTCCAGTTTTTTCTTCCATCGTCTCGAACTCTTCTGCTTCACCACCTCCATCGTGTACTCCACTTGGAACAGCCGCCCCGCCGGCAACCACGTCCTCTCGTCGGTGTCGTATTGATTCCTGAACATTTTGTAAACTCGGCTTTTCAAAATTCCCGAGATGGGTGCAGCGATTTATGTCTGCCTTTCTCGAAAATCCCAGTGGTGGAGGCTCGTCGGTGACGGCTCGTCTCTTGGCTTCAGACTTGATCGAACGTCGCCCGAGGGAGAAGGAGTTGCTGTTGTTCGGGACCCCTGGTTCTCCCTTGTTGTACGGCGGTCGGAACTCGCGGCTTCACGGCTATAGCCATGGTTGATCGGACAAGAATCTGATGATAAATTTATTTATCATATACCGAAAATATATTGAATACGATACATATACACAAAAAGAAAAAAAAAATAGTTTATGCTTTCTTGAGGAAATGTGAAATATCAGAATATTGTACAGAACGAGCTATGGAAGTCGACTTTTGTGGACCATAAGCTCTTTGAGGCTCATTGCAAGAGAGAATTTATCCTCCGTGCAAGCCGAGCACACCATTTTATTGTAACTAAAAACCGAGATGCTCAAATTATTCCCTATCATGACTGCAAGAATTTGTTTAACTTTCTCAAAGTTGTTCGGCCCGCAGTAGCCTTCAATTAAAGAGTTGTAAACTTCAACATCGAGAATTGAGCCCTCTAATGATAAAACTTCAGCAAGAATCCTTATCGCCACTGCCACCTCCTCCGATCCGACTTCCGCCTCTGTCTCCGACTTCGCGATTGAAGAGTGTTCGTGAATATGGGGGAAAGGATGGAGGTTTCTTTGGTTTGAGATGTGAACGTGGGCCGTGGGGTGGGATTGTTCAATATTTTGTTCAAATTTTTTAGGTAAGTGTATATTTAATATCAATTAATGAAATCACACCATTTAATCTATCCTAAAAAAATGCTAAACGGTTACATTTGCTAACACATCATATTAGGTATATTTGTAATATTATTGTGTTTGTTTGACTATTATATAAATAAAAATTAAAGAGGTATATAAGTGTAATATATTTGCAATATGAAGCGATTGGAGTGTAAATTCATCTATATTTTATAGATTGTTAGTTATGGAATTTCGGCATGGGCCTTGCAATTACCACCAGCCCATTGGGCTATTACCATCTTTGATTCAATTTCAACAATTGCACTGCACGATTGAAATCGTGGTCCCCTCACCTTGTTCACCTGTCACCTTCGCCTACATCACAGCCAGTGACCCGAGCACTCCTCACGTCCCAACCAATATTCCAACACGTGTACATCCCCACCACTCTTTCTCGCAATTTCGGTGCCTCTACTTGAGACACGTGTCTCAGGCCACAGTTCCCTCCTATATGATTCTCTCTCATCGTTCCCTTGTTTTTCAAAAGAGCTCTCTCTCTTTCTCTCTCCTCCCTCCGCTCGTTTCTCCCGTTACTCTCTCTCTAAAGGTTCTGCTAAAGTTCTCTCTCTTAGGGTTTATACTTACTGTCGGAGCCTGTTATTTTTCGAAAATTATGTGAAGGTGTGTGCTTTCGTCATTACTATTACTCTTTTTTTAGCTAGTCTACCATGTTTTGTTTGTTCTGGGCTATTGTTCGGAGTTTCCTTATGATGTTTGGTTTGGTTATCTCGGATCTTGGTTGAATTTTTTGCCCCTTAATTTGAGCTGGCTTCTTGAAAATTCTGCTAAATTGACATTAAAAAATACAGCTTCGAAAAAAGTTGCGTTGATATGCCATGTAATTCTAGTGTTCAAGCTACATAGTACTTCACATTTATACTTTGGTTGGTCTTCTTGTTTCACTTTCGAGCTATTTTAGGTGGATTTGTGAGTTTGTTTCCTTCTCTTAGAAAACAAAAACACTTGGATTTACGTAGAAGTCGCTTGGATTATCCATGGTTTCTTTGTAATAAAATTGGTTNTCTTTGCAATTCCCTTGTTGAGATGTATTCTCTACACTCACATTATATATATATATATATATATATATATACACACACAATACTGATTAAATTATTAGTGAAACAAATTGAAGAACTGTATGCTGCCCATCTAACACATGCTAGTCAGCATTAATGCCAAGAACCACAAAGAAGGTTCCCATTTCTGTTTTCTTAGCATTGAGATACATAAAAAGTTGGTCAAAATGAAATGTCGTTTTACTATTCCTGCTCTGTGTTGTGTGTGTGTGTGTATTTTTTTTCCTTTAATTCATCCGTCCATATCATGTAATACCGACACCTCTTACTACGAAAACCCAGTTCCTCTTAATTCACTTTCCCTTGCAGTCTCTAAATCGAAGATAAACATCACAATCAACAACAACAGTCAAATCAAAACAATACAGATCATGGACCACTCTGATCAGATGCACCCGCCACCTTCAACACACCACAACCCAATGCCTTACCCCTCCGTGGGGCCCGCTGGCCCGCACGTACCCCTAACCGTTACTGTGTCCTCCCCCACGGGCTATCCATCCCACCTTCAGCCTCCTCCTTTTCACCAGCAGCAGCAGCTGCAGGCTTTCTGGGCCGGGCAGATGCACGAGGTCGACCAGGCAGCCGACTTCAAGAACCACAGCCTCCCGCTGGCCCGCATCAAGAAGATCATGAAGGCCGACGAGGACGTGCGGATGATCTCCGCCGAGGCACCCGTCGTCTTCGCCAAGGCCTGCGAGATGTTCATACTCGAGCTCACGCTGCGCGCGTGGATCCACACGGAGGAGAACAAGCGTCGGACGTTGCAGAAGAACGACATCGCCGCGGCCATCTCGAGGACTGATGTGTTTGATTTCCTGGTGGATATCATCCCCAGGGACGAGCTCAAGGAGGATGGGCTTGGGGTGACGAAGGTGCCGATTGTGGGCCCGCCGCAGCCCGGTGTGGATGGAATGCCTTATTACTATGTGGGCCCGCAGAGCCCGGGGATGTATGGGCCGGGCCTGCCGTTTGTGCCGTGGGTGAAGGCTGGGGGTGTGCAGCAGGAAGGGCCCGAGGAGGAGGAGGAGGGGGAGCAGCAGACTGCAGAGTGAAGTTTTGGTGGTGTTTTTACTTTTTAGTAGTTTTGGTTTGAGAATGGGGAGATGGAAACTAATGTGGTGGTTAAGTTAAGGTGAGTTTGTTAAGGTAATGCTAGGTTGATCTTTAAGGGAGTTGGCTTCATGGAAGAGACATTTATGTTTAATCTGTCGTAGTGGCTGAATGAAATGTGCTTCTGCTGATAATAAAATGAAAAGACAATAGGAGATTATATATTGATGCAGTTACTGTGTGGTAACAGAACTAGAGCTAAATTTAACTCTTCATGAGCTTAATGAAGGCTTTTTAATTTGTAAGGAAAATTGGTTTTGTTTGAAGAGAAGTTAATCCTAAGTTGGATTCGTGGTGGAATACAAGTTTGAATTTAAAATTGAGTTTATTTAATAAGTAACTCGGATGTGTTAGACTCGGATTCATTTGGTTTATGACAAATGCTTAGGCGAGCCTGAGCACCAGGGCCGACTCCTGGGCGCCACATAGTGAAGACTTTTTAATTTGTGGGAAAAATTGGTTTTGTTTGAAGAGAAGTTAATCCTAAGTTGGATTCGTGGTGGAATATAAGTTTGAATTTGAAATTGAGTTTATTTAATAAGTTCGAAGGTGTTAGACTCGGATTCATATGGTTGATGACAAATGCTTAGGCGAGCCTGAGCACCAGGGCCGACTCCTAGGCGCCACATTTGGCTTTTCGGTGCATGCGTTCGCATTGGATTCATAAACCTTACATTTGGCTTTTCAGCATTTGACATATCCATGATATTCTTAAGATACTTGCAATTTAAAACTCTTGTAAATATCCTATATACATACTAGTGAAATAGACTTCACACGATCTCCGTTCGAACTATTATAGTGAGGAAACGGCTCCCTCGACCTCATGACTTTTTCTTCGCTCTTGAATAGTTTCCACACCTACAAGAACTCGACACCGGAAGAGAGATTTTTTGGTGAAGAGCCTCCGATGCCTAAATCAGTATTACTCCCATATGATACAATAAAATATGTATATAAAATGTGTAGAGAATGTAACCACAAACTAACAGATAAACAATAAAATATGTATATAAAATGTGTAGAGAATGTGACCACAAACTAACATGTATGCACTTTTAAATTAATATAAAACATGTAAATAAAGTGGGTGATTTGCAGTTTTTAGTTTAGGGTTTAAAATGACGTAATGTTCATTTTGAAATTAGTAGCAATAACAAAATAGAAAATGCTCGTTTTTGAGTATATCGATTTTCATCATCAGTTGTGTGCCCGTCAGTAGTTTTTGGCTTAAAAATAGTAGGGCCAAAAGAGCCACAAAAAAGCAGGCAATACAGTGACCCTAGAAATCATGGATCAAGTACCAAAAAAAAATAAAAATCATGGATCATCTTCAACCTCATCTCAACGATAAGAGATATGAGACATCTCATCAACTCTCAATCCCACTCTTTCCTCCACTCTCCCCATTAACCGTCGCTCACTTTACACACACACACAGCGCTCCTGAAACCCTCTCAGCACTCACCGTGAGATGGCGTCCACAGCTGCATCGCCAGCCTTCTGCGGCATCCCGAAGAAATCAGCGGCGGCCGCCGCCGCCGCCGTAAGGGCTTCTCTCAGCGCCCCCACCACCGGATTCCTCTCCAGAACCCCCGTCCGACGCCTCGGCTTTGCCGCCGCCAACCCCCTCTTCTCCGACCACGTCGCCGCCAAGCTGCGATCGTTCGGGAGCTCAAATGGCAAGCCGGTTAGAGGCGTCGTCGCCATGGCGAAGAAGAGCGTCGGAGACCTAACTGCGGCTGACCTCAAGGGCAAAAACGTCTTTGTGAGGGCCGACCTCAATGTGCCTCTCGATGAGAACCAGAACATTACTGACGACACGAGGATTAGAGCTGCTATCCCCACAATTAAGCATCTAATTAACAATGGCGCTAAAGTCATTCTTTCCAGTCACTTGGTCAGTTAATCTCTTTGTCACCATTGAAAGTTCCTTATTTTATAACTCTGGAGTGAATAATATTTGTTTGGCTTTGATTTGTTCTAGTTTGATTAGTTGTTCACTAGATTAGAGGTCGTTTAATCAAATCATGCAATGTGCTGTTAGAGTCACAAGATCCAACTGAATTTCATGTTCCCTGTTTTATCCCGCCACAAATGTTTTGATTCTAATACTCTTTAACGTGCGTGCAAGTTGATACCAGTTTTTGAGTTCATGAATTGCACTTCTGATTGGTGTTCTTGTTTTTTCAGGGTCGCCCTAAAGGTGTCACACCAAAATACAGTCTTGCACCTCTTGTTCCTAGGCTCTCTGAACTGCTCGGTATTCAGGTATCAGTTTACAGGAAAATAATTTTTCAGTTAAATGGAAAGGGGGAAAGGAAGCCTGAGAAGGAGATAGATTTCATTGAATATGTTAGCATATGTTTAGTGTATTATTCCTTAACACGAGCTATTTTATCTGCTAATGAATATCCAACTCAGGTTGTGAAAGCCGATGATTGCATTGGCCCTGAGGTTGAAAAATTGGTGGCCTCACTGCCTGAAGGTGGCGTCCTCTTGCTTGAGAACGTGAGGTTTTACAAAGAGGAAGAGAAGAACGAGCCCGAGTTTGCAAAGAAACTTGCCTCATTGGCTGATCTTTACGTGAATGATGCATTTGGAACTGCACACAGAGCACATGCCTCTACTGAGGGAGTTACAAAGTTCTTGAAGCCTTCAGTCGCTGGTTTACTTTTACAGAAGGTTAATCTTGCACTTCAGATGTCAAAAAATTATTATTCATGCAGTAATATTTGAGATTTCTGCACGGGTTAGTTAAGGAATCACTTGTTGGATTTAACTTGACTGCCATAAAAATGAAGAGATATTTTAGAACTAGAAATACTTAATGATACTCTCCAAGAGGGAGATAATAGGTTTGTACGTACCTCACAAGGGTGTTTGTGGGTATTCGTAATTTTGAAGATAATTGATATGTAGCTTTTTGTGTGTGTTTGTGCGCGAGTGCATGCACCTGTTAGACTAAATCTCAGGGTACTTTGTCCCGATATCCCTTTTATGTAGTACAGTTTTACACAGTTATAGATTGGTGAACTAAAGATCGTGAACTGGCTTCAATTTAGGAGCTTGATTATCTTGTTGGGGCAGTTTCGAGCCCAAAGAGGCCTTTTGCCGCCATTGTGGGGGGTTCAAAGGTTTCCTCTAAGATTGGAGTGATTGAATCTCTTCTCGAGAAGTGTGATATACTGCTACTGGGCGGAGGTATGATATTCACATTCTATAAAGCACAAGGGCTTTCTGTAGGGTCTTCCCTAGTCGAAGAAGACAAGCTGGATCTTGCCACATCACTATTGGAGAAGGCTAAGGCCAAGGGGGTTAGCCTCTTGCTACCCACTGATGTTGTTATAGCCGACAAATTTGCCCCAGATGCAAATAGCAAGGTCCTGATTCCTTTTTTCTGTAGCGTACAATGAATTTGGTCGTGTGATTTATCTTTCTTTCTTTCAAAATGAATATATATTTCTTTTAAGTGCTGTGGTGCGGATGTTGTTTGATATTTACAGGTTGTGCCGGCATCTGCTATTCCAGATGGGTGGATGGGATTGGATATTGGACCGGATTCTGTGAAGACTTTTAATGATGCCCTTGAGACTACAAAGACGGTTATTTGGAATGGACCAATGGGAGTTTTTGAGTTCGACAAGTTTGCCGTGGGCACAGAGGTACATTTCTTGATCTAACCACCATTATTTTGTTTTGCCAAGATGTACATAATGCTGGGTACTGCATGTTTGTCTTTACAGTCTGGACAGCCTCCTTTGAAATTGTTTTATTTGGTTGAATCTTGTAAAGATTGCATTTTCGAATTGTAACAGTTTTGGAACCAATCTTAGAGTTCTTTGTCTATGGTCGATCAACCTTGCATAATTGCATTCCATTTCTGCTTGACCTCCATTTCTGAGGAACAACAAAAAAATATATTATTCTGGGAAAATATTTACACGACTTGAGAATGGGTCTTCTTTCTTTTTTCTTTCAACAGTCTGCAACCTAAATTAATAATATTTTATTTTTATGTTATCTTGTTTGTTTTCTCTGGCATTTTTCAACCTAAACTATCCCACATCTTGCAAAATGTAAAAAGAGAGGCGAACGATAATATGCAGAACAGTATTTCCCCCCATTTTCAATCGAGTAATATGTGAAAATTTTTGTGCAGGCAATTGCAAACAAGCTAGCTGAACTTAGTCCTAAGGGGGTGACTACAATAATTGGCGGTGGAGATTCTGTTGCAGCAGTGGAGAAAGTTGGGGTTGCTAATGTTATGAGCCACATATCGACTGGTGGTGGGGCCAGCTTGGAGCTCTTGGAAGGCAAAGAGTTGCCTGGTGTACTTGCTCTAGATGAAGCCACACCAGTTCCCGTGTAAGGCGTAAAAAACGACATTTAGACCCTTTCTTTTGGTCGAAGATGTGTTCCTTTCCGGTTTTGAAATGTATCAGTATATGAGTTTGTGTCATAGATGCCCCCTGTTTCGCTTTAAATTTGGATTCTATGTAAAATTTTCTAAAACCTCTTTTTACTTGTTTATATCCGAATAAGAAATCCATGAATCTTCTAGTTCTGGATGTAATTTGTGTACAAAGATTTCAAAATGAAGGCAGCCGCATATTGTTTTCCTGGCTCTCATTGATGAAAGCATCTCATTCATATTAGATATGTTTTCTCGTGAGAGTAGATGAGATGGGTCAAGACACATCACACGGCATGCGGGGGCAAAAAATAAGACCACCAACAAAATATTAATATTGATTGTGTTGTGACTTATGACACTAGTGAATTCTCATCTTCCCTGTATATAATTTTCGAATATGCTGAACCTAAGTAGCAGACTCACATACTTCAGGATCCTATTGACAGTTTTTTAAGCTATGTTGTTTGGCTTAGATGGATTTTAATTTATTTCCAATACAAAAGTAATTAGGCGTGGAATATCTATAAATATACTGAATATTTGGTCCCTTTTAAGAGCATTAAATATGTTTGAATAATATTTCTTATTGTAGAAGTGATTTATAAGGTATAATTTTTTTTCAATATTTCTTTCAAAATTATAACAAATTTACTAACTTAAATTATAAATATTAAAAGTTTATAATTTTTTTTTATTTATTAACAATTTTTTATATGTAATATATCTAATTAATCATGTCTTGATGAACTTCAAATTGACATCTATATTATACATAACAATTAAATAATTTTATTTATCTACATAAAGCATATAAAAAATTATTTGAATTGGTGTATGTGCACAAGATTAAATAAATAAGAAAAGGTGATAACAATTAAAATAATTATTAAATTTTAAAATATATTTTTTATTAAAGAAATAGCAACTTAGAGCATCTCCCATGCTCAAATGTTGTTGTGTTAAGTTACATTTTACATCAACATATTTAGTAATGTTACAACTTTTTATCCTCCAATGCACACTGTGATCACAAATATTGTGATGATGTAAACATAATTAATGTCTACAATGTAGAGAAGAGTGTGGTTCATCCACATTCTTCTCCATACTCTAACTAACCAATAAAAATAAGAGAAAGAATTATTCTTACCAATTCTAAATTATTTAATTAATTTTCTTACTACATTTTATTATCTGATAAGTAGATAGTATTGTAGTTAAATTATAATGTGCATTGAAAATAATTTTTAATTTTATAGTTTTAAATTTAACATTTGTCTTTCACAATTCATTTAATTTATTGATATTTATCAAAATTTATTCTCCAACAAGCATTGGAGATGCCTTTAGTACCCGTTGAATGAATGTTCAGACCTTTTCTTGACCCACAAGATAAACCCATTTTCTATAATCAAACGAAGATGTGATTTCCTTTTCTATGCAACCACTCACAGCCACTAATCTATAAACCTTGGCCCGCCCACGGCTTCTCGCTCTCGCCCACAGATATATAATAACATTTTCGATTCTTTCTCCACTTGATCCATCTTCGTTCCTAATTCCTGTTCACACCAACAACGTAAGCTCATTTATCCCTTATCTTTTATTTTCTTTCATTTTCTTTCTATTTCCTGGCATTTTTCTTTGGATTAAGTAATCACTCGTCGTATTTTGAGCTTCAGGATTGTTTCTGATCTGAACATTCGCAAATGGCGACCAAAAAGAGCGTGGGTTCTCTCAAGGAAGCCGATCTTAAGGGAAAGAAAGTGCTCGTGAGGGTGGATCTGAACGTGCCGTTGGACGATAGCCTTAAAATCACCGACGATACCAGAATCAGAGCCGCCGTCCCCACGATCAAGTACTTGATTGGCTATGGCGCTAAAGTCATCCTCACCACCCATCTCGTATGTGTTTCTATCTTCTTGTTGCTTATTCTTCTTAGTCGTACTTTTAAGCTGAAATATGGGCGA